CGACGTCTCGATTGTCGTTCTGTCATAGATTAAATCTTTAAAAAAGAAAGAAAGAAAAAGCGAGAGGTCTGAGTTTTCGAAAAATATTTTTTACGTTGATATCGGTTCTCGATTCTTTTGAGTGACATTAAGCCGTTGTTAAATAACGAGATTGTTTTGTTGTTTAATAATGTCGGTTTCGATAATATCAATAGTGCGCATGTCATGACGTCAGAATATACAGACAATTACTTTTCTTTTTCTATGATTAAATTCTCCTTGACTTGAGACACCTTAGTGTCGGAGCTCATCTATTGTAGCTTATTTCACCGACCTACTCGCGATTATTTCCGACGTAAATGCGTGCTCTACGTCACATCGTGGTATCTTCGAAGTAGACGGTATGTGCGATGTGTAGTATATTCGAAATGGTATAGAACGAGTCGTACAACCACAAGTGTGTGGCACGTGTAACCAATTCTTCAACTTGCAATTAACTTTGACTACTTTTTCTCCATTTTTTTCTTTTTTTTTTTTTTTTTTTTATATTCCAAATTCGATCAATTTTTTTGTTTTCTTTGTATTTACTTGAAAACAGATTAAAAGTGACAAGCACTATTGTTATTCAAAAAAAAAAAAATAATAATAATAATATTATTGTTTGATCTTATTTGATAGATGATTTAATTTCTTCTTTCTTTCTTTCTTTCTTTTTTTTGTTTTTTTCTTCTTTCGAAAAGAATTTAATAAAAAATTTAATGCCATTATTTTTCTTACCAAATATTATGTCGTTGATTAGATAATTAGAAGAAATCCATTGAAGGATTAATTAGTAAAATTAAATGTTTATTAAGAGGGATGTTAAAGATTATTCGTCGTGATTGGAATGAACTTATTTTGTTAGCTAGTACCGGTGGAATTATGGAGGATAGTTAGAACGTTAACTCGAACATTAACCACAAGGAAGTACCGCTTTCATTGGTGTACATCGCCGTTCTCTTGATGCCCCGGTATCCTGCTGAACGTGAACGTACGATCCAACAACGTTTCCCTTCTCTCTCTCTCTCTCTCTCTCTCTCTCTCTTTTTCTCTCTCCTTTCTTTTTCTTCTCATGTCCCGTTCGGCACGTAAAATCAAATTTCTTCTTTCGTTCAGCTTCGCTATCTTTCGATTGTGTTGCACGAAGAATAAGAAGAAGAATAAGAAGAAGAAATAATAGAAGAAGACGATCGAAAGAGGAATTTTGTTTGGTGAACATCGAAAACTCGTTTCTATTTTTCGTTCGTTCTAATTGACGTTGTGAAAAACAAAGAAAAAAACAAACATTGACTGTAAAGAGTGTCGTGAATTTTTTTTTTTTTTCCCCGAAGGAAAGAAAGAGATAAAGAGAACGCTTTGGAATGCAGATTTTTTTTTCTATATGTGTGTATATATATATATATTATATATGTACATATATATATATATATATATGAAGTGAAACGAAAGTGAATTTGAAAAAAAAAGTAGAACGATGTCGATATATCGATTTAGCAAAAGTGGTCGATTATTCGTACAGGGTACTCACGAGGATGACGATCGTGCTAACGTTATTTCCTCGAGTCGTACTGGAAGTCCTTCTGGCGATGATCTACAAGCGATCTATACTAAAAGACGTCTTTCTACAGAGGTCTTAGGTAGGCTCGTTCAATGATTCGTTGGATTCGCTCAAGTTTCACTCGAAAGATAGAGACCGAGAGACTTAATTCATTTTTTAAGTTAAATAATTAAATAATATGTATTATATATATATATATTTTTTTTTTCTTTTTATATTAATAACGATATGATCATTCTAAAGTAAATTAAATAACAATATGTATTATTTATTTTATCTTGAAATAATTTATTCATATTTTAATTACTTTCTCGTTGAAGTTTTATTTTTAATTTTAATCGCAAATATAATTAATTATTCATCTTATTTGAATAATGATAAACACGATGATAAAAATGATTAGCCTTGATCTTCGATCAATTCTTGCTGATGATCCAAGCTTAATAAGGATTCGTAGCCTGAAGAAAAACCGATTAAAAATGTATATAACGTGGGCGAGCGGAAATTGTTGGATAGTTAAAGTAACGTCGCATCTAGTCTCTTGGCGATGTCCTTCGATTATCGAGAACGGTGATATACCACCCACGATCCGCCTGTTTCATGTTGATCGTGATCTATATAATAAATAATGTGATATCTTCTGCAATGTTGGATAACTTTGTATCGACGAATATATAATAGTAGTCCGATACACATTCATGAATTTTTATCAATGTTATCCACGTTGAAATTGTTAATTCATTTCGATGATCGATATAAAGACTCAAAGAAAAATAAGTTGACGAATTAATTGAATGAAAAAAGAAAAAGAAAAAAGATATATTTATATATATTAACGATTTAAGTGAAATCTTTTGCTGCAAGATTTTTTATCTATTTTTGTCATTTAGACTTTTAAAATATTTTTTTTTTTTTTTTTTTTTTTTTTTTTTATTTTTGGGACTTCTCAATCGGTCTTTCGAGCATACAATTTTTTTCTTTTCCTTGAGCGAATCGTATTTGGTGCGAGAGACGAATATTTTATAGCTTCGAAAATTCGTATAATATCAAATTAGGCTCGTCGATCGAGTCGACGAAGACCTCGAGACGCGGCGAAAATGGCACTAAACGCATCGTGACGCGCATAGTTCGGAAGACAACGACGTTGACTCGTGGGGAAGAAAAAAGTGTTACCGAGGACCAAACCAAGTATGGCTCTCAAAAATATCTCAAGGATTCTTCCTCGTCCGCGACCTTGACTCGACATGCTTCTCCAAAAGCGAAGACTGTTAGGGTAAGAGAAACCGAGAGGCTTACTGATGTTGAAAACTCCATACAATTTATTATCTATGAAATATCTAATTTCTGAAAATATCAATGCACCTTATTGTATCTGATCGATAAGAATTATCGGAAGATTTAAGGATTGATCTAGGAAGGATTAAAAAAAAATAGATAAAGAAATATTGTATTTAAGAAGATCTCAAAAGTAATCTAAGAAGTTTCAAAAAATAACTATTTATTTTATATTAAATAATTATTATTAACATTACATGGAAATTATTTAGAAAAACTTTGTTTTATCATTAAGGGAATATCTATAAGAGTGGCAAAATAAAAAAATTAAAAAAATAAAAAAAAATTAAATACTTATGTAATTGCTATCGATCAAGTTGACGATTATCGTTCGATATATAGATATCGAATCTTACTCATGTAACACGTCACATCTCATCTTTATGATCGCTATATATACATATATATATATATATATATATATATATATATATGTCTAAGGATCAGGATTATAATGCCACTTGATTCTCTTTTTCTCTACGATAAATATAAATCATTTAGACAATGGATTTATTTCTTTCTGTGTGTAATGTTAAATAACTCTTCGGACAAATGCAAAAAGCATTATCTCGACTCGTTCGGGTTGAACATGGTGTGCATTTTCTATGAGATTCATATTATGCGCAGGATCTTTGAATAGATCTTATCTATTTTCTATTCGAGTTACACGACGACGAGTAATGGTAGCAATACCTTATGTAACAGATCAAAGTTGCCGACAACTAATGTTGCGGAAATTTCATGAGCGTGTATGTACTACTGTTAATTATCTTTCTATCTTTAATCCACACACACACACACACATACATACATATATATATATATATATATATATATATATATATATACATGCATGTAAGTGATTATTATGAATCTAGGAAATATACAAAATTAATTTGATCAGTTGACAATGCAAATATATGCATATATAATTAATATGAATCAAGGAATATAAAAAATAATTTCGATCAGCTGATAGTATTATCTATTGTTAAATTATATATATATATATATATATACATGCATAAATGATTATTTTGCATCCACATTTTGCATACACATGGATTATTAATATGAGTCAAAGAAAATACAAAATGATATCGATCATTTGATGTTATTATTGAATCATCATCTATTTGAATCGTGGCGTAAAACATGAAGCATAAGGAAGCTTCACAGAGTCGCGACTTGACATTTAACGAATACAAGATAGCTCGAAGGAAAGAGAAAGAGTCGACGAACCCAATCGAGTTCGAGTTCGAGTTCGGTGCACCGTCATCAAACGATAACTCGATCGAGAACATCTGCTAAGTTAGGAATAATAAACGTGAAAGGCAAAGTAGAGAGAAATCTCATTGTTTTCTATCTCTCCTACACATCTCTTCTTTCTTCTCCCGTTTTTTCTTTCTTTCTTTTTTTTTTGTTTTCTTTTTCTTTCTTTCTTTTTTTTTTTTTTTTCGGAAAAGAACAAATACCAACCCACCACCCTCGTCTGTTAAAGTTTTATATCGTTCTCCTTAAATACCATGATCTATTTTCTTCGAAGATATTTCTCTCGTTGAATGCACGTTCTGGTCTACAGACTTAGAATAGATAAGAAAGGTATTTCTGATTTAAATTAGGGAATGATTAATCTCTATACTATTTATGTTTCTATATCTATACAAAGTAACATTTTTGAGTTATCTATGATCAAAAATATTTAGGTCTCAAGTATCATAAAGTTGTCGCTTCCTTATTTCTTTTATAATATCAATCTTAAATTACGGAATGTAAAGTTTATAAAATAATTTTAATTGAAATATCAATGAGTTTGTTGTGTATCATATAATTAGACCAAGGGGAATGATTACTCTGTATAATTATTTAAATTTTTATTGTACAATATGAGTAAACATATTGTTGAATTTTATCACTGATAAAAAGCAATTGAAAGTTGAAATGTCGTAAAGTTGTTGCTTATTATTATTTGTTAATAGTATTAATTTTAAACTTCTTTCAAGATATATAAACAGTTTATGAAGTTATTATTGATAATAGAAAATTAATTATTGTTAATGTGTTAATGTCGTATAACTTTTTGTTACAGATATCAGATATTGTAGTAGGTCAAGAACCAAATGTGACAGCTCGAGAAGCTTTGCTAAGATGGGCAAGACGTTCAACAGCTCGTTATCCTGGTGTCCGTGTGACAGACTTTACTTGTTCCTGGAGAGATGGTTTGGCGTTTAGCGCACTTCTCCATAGAAACCGTCCAGACCTCGTCGATTGGAGAAGTGCTCGTGCAAGTCAACCTCGAGAACGGCTCGATCGGGTCTTCCACGTCGCCGAGCGCGAGTACGGCGTTACAAGGCTTCTCGATCCAGAAGGTAATCCTGTTCCTCATAAATCCCTTCTGTCTGACTTTTTTTTCCTCTCTCCCTCTCTTTTTTTTTTTTTTTTTTTTTTACTTTTTTTTTTCTTTTTTACTTTTTACTTTTTGTTCACCTTAGTCGGATTTGTTGTCTATCCTTTCTCTCAATTCTATTTCGCTTGGTCGTTGACTCGAAGGTGAAAGCACATGTCCAATGGATTCTCTTATTAGACAGACTTGTCATTGTCCGATCAAACAACTTACTTTCTCTCTCTTTCTCTCTTTACCTGTCTTTCTTCAATCATTTTTTTATTTATTTATTTATTTATTTTTTTTTATAAATTTGTAAACAGGAATCATCAGCAGTAAGGTTGAAAGCAAGAAAAGAAATAATTTTTCTCTACTTCTTTTTTTTTTTTTTTTCTTTTTTTTTCTTTTTTTTCTTTCTTCTTTTCAACAATCTGTATCTGCATCAGCAAGGTGCACGTAGACCCAATAACCAAGCACAAATCCGGCCACAGTCGCCTTTCTTTTTGGTCACGGTACTCGCCGTCGTTTCCGGTTGAAGCCGAGTACCGTGACCGATCGTAGCACTGACTCTCCGTATAAATAATTATGGTCGTCCCTGCTCTAAGTCTCTATGTGCGTACGTATACTTTAGTCTTGACGCACATAGATGGGATATCCATTGTTCAAGAGAATACCGCTATAAAGATCAATTGATATATGTTGATGTAGTTGATGATTCGTTCATGTAAAATCAAATTTGAATAGATGTAAATGATAGTAAATAATTCGAAATAATTAATTTATTATTATTAAAAAAAAAAAAAAAAAAAAAAAAAAAAAAAAAAAAAAAAAAAAAAAGAGAGAGAAAAACAAATTTTTTTTCTTTTATAACAGTCTCTAAACAATAACTTGAACATTTAATTGTGTTAATATTATTTAATTGTTAAAAATAAATTAAAAATTTCGTTAAAAATAAATTAAAAAATTGTTAAAAAAAAATGACAAAATTGTGAATAAAATATTTATTAATATTTATATTGTTATAGATGTGGATACACCGGAACCGGACGAGAAGTCTTTGATAACGTACATCTCTTCGCTCTACGACGTGTTCCCTGAGCCACCCCCAATTCATCCCCTTTATGATACCGAAGCCCAAAGACGATCAGCTGAGTATCGTGAACTTGCTAGCTCTCTACACCTTTGGATACGTGAAAAGATGACTTTAGTACAGGATAGATCTTTCCCGCCAACTTTGATCGAAATGAAAAAACTCGCAGCTGATAGCTCTAAATTCAAAAACGAGGAAGTACCGCCAAGATACAGGGACAAGCAAAGATTGTCTTATATCTTTAGAGATTTGCAGAAATATTTTGAAGCTGTTGGTGAGGTCGATATGGAACCAGAATTGCACATTGATGTGATTGAAAAGAATTGGAGCAGATTAATAATGTTACATCAAGAAAGAGAACAGGCTATTATTGATGAAATCAAACGGTTAGTTTATATGTCTAAAGTAAAAGAAAAATAATAGTTAACAAATATACCATTCATTTTATTCGTTTTATTTAAAATAAATATTTATAATTCTATTTGTCGCATTTTATTTTATTTAGGTAAAATAGAAGTTTTACTTATATAATATTATATTATAGTCAATCAGACATTTATTAAGGTATTTTTAATATATCTATTTAAAGTAGATATTTAATTTTAAATTAAAATAAACGAACTAAATGAGGTATATTTGTTTATTAATGGTATATTTAAATAACGATTAATTAATTATCCGCTTCACGATTAGAAAGTACTTCTTAAAAGAGAAGAGATCTAATCGTGAATCCTATTTGGTATGCATTCTCTCGTTTGTTACGATGTACGAAAGGATAATCTTACAATGAAGTCACGAAATGCATCGAGTCACGAAAGATGCTTTCACGGATATATGTACATGTATATGTATATATATATATATATATATTTTCTCACTCCTTAAATGTTTATGTTTAGACTCGAACGACTTCAACGGCTTGCCGAGAAAGTTCACCGTGAGATGAAGTCAACTGATAATCGTCTGGAAGAATTGGAAAGACGCGTGGAAGACGAGGCTCGACGTCTCGATCGTCTTCACCCTTTAGAAGCTAAACATGCGGTTGACCTGCTGGAACAGGACATTCGCAATACCGAAATTCAAATACAGAATATTTTTACCGATGTACACACACTCACCGAAGGCAGATATAGTCAAGCTGCTGAACTTCACAAGAGGTCAATAAATTTTCTTTTTTTTGTTTAGAAATTTTTTCGAATGACTTTATCTTAGATAAAATTTCAATTTTAGAGACCGTAAAGAATTTAAGTTAGAATTAACATTCGATAATTATTTATTATACATTGGATTTAAGAAATATGATGGATAGTTGATTGTTAATTTTTCTTATTTTTTTTTTTTTCCCTGAAATAATAGGGTGCAGAAACTACATCAACGTTGGGTAGCATTACGTTCTCTCTTGCACAAACGTTTGGTACAACCACTTTCCGCGGTGTCATTCCCAGTAGAAGAACGAGTTGTCACGAAGCATCGAACGACAGTTCACGAAACGAGATTGGTAGATACCAATCCACATTTCCGTTCGTTACACGACTGCATCGATTGGTGCAAGGCTAAATTAAAACAGATCCAAGAAGCTGATTACGGCTCGGATTTGCAAAGCGTTCAAAACGAATTCGACGTTCATCAGAAGGAACATAAAAATATTGATCAGTTCCGTTCGAAAGTAGACAAGTGTGTTCAAGCTAAAAATAATTTCCACGGGGAGGAATTGACTTTGTATAGTCAGCATCTCAGCAATTTACAGAAACTTTATTCTGAACTTTTGGCACTATCGAACAAGAGACTTTCCGATTTGGATACTTTACAAGATTTTATACAATCTGCTACTGGAGAACTTGTGTGGCTTAATGCTAAGGAAGAGACCGAGGTGACAAGAGATTGGAGCGATAAGAACCTTAACGTTCAAAGCATCGAACAGTATTACGAGGTTGGTCGGAACATTATTAAATTGCATAAATATTCACACACACATACACATATCGATTTATTTATTTATTTATTTATTTATTTTTTTTTTTTTTTTTTTTTTTTTTTTTTTAATATTACTAATATAAAAAATCTTCTCATATTATTCTATATTTTACAAGCGTACATACGGATCTGGAATTGAGGTAAATCTTTTACTAATACACGATTAAAAATTTCATTTCATTTTCCAATATCAATTTTATAATATTTATTATAATAATTATTCTTTCTTCTACATGATTATTATAATTTTTTAATACAGTCCCTGATGAGCGATTTGGAGAAACGAGAAATACAATTTTCTGCTGTACAAGATAGAGGAGAAGCATTGGTTCTCCAGCATCATCCAGCAGCAAAAACGATCGAGGCCTATATGTCAGCGATGCAGAGTCAATGGGCTTGGCTCCTTCAGCTAACTCTCTGTCTCGAAGTTCATCTGAAACACTCCGCGCATAGTCAACAATTTTTCAAGGATATTCAACAGGCTGAACAATGGATTTCTAAGATAGACGAAACACTTAACACGGTTTATTCGCAATCTGATTTTTCTCTAGACGAAGGTGAACGATTGTTAAAGGGTATGCAAGAACTTAGAGAAGAACTTAATAATTATGGTGAGCACGTTCAGAGATTGGTCGAACAGGCTAAAGAAGTTATACCGATGAAACAAAGAAGACAGCCAGTAACGAGACCATTGCAAGTTACTTGCGTTTGCAGTTACAAGCAAGTAAACGTAAGTTTATTTCAAATATTAAACAATTAAAATGTTAAAAAACATTTATTCTTCATAATGATCTTCATTGAAGCAGATGTCAATCGAGAAAGGAGAACAATGTACTCTCTATGATAATTCTGGTAGAGTTAAATGGCGTGTAAAGAACTCGCAAGGAGTCGAATCACCTGTACCAGGTGTCTGTTTTTCACTTCATCCACCAGATAAAGATGCATTGGATGCTGCTGAACGATCAAGACGACAATACGATAGAAGCGTATCTTTGTGGCAGCGCAAACAACTAAGACTCAGACAGAACATGATTTTTGCTACCATCAAGGTGGTCAAGGGATGGGACTTACCTCAGTTCTTAGCTATGGGACAAGATCAACGTACTGCTATTAGAAAAGCTTTGAACGAGGATGCAGATAAATTACTTAGCGAAGGTGATCCAGCTGATCCACAATTGAGAAGATTGAAACGTGAGATGGCTGATGTTAATAGGCTCTTCGATGATTTCGAGAAACGTGCCAAAGCCGAGGAGGAATCTAAAAACGCTGGTCGAATTTTCAACGAACAGGTATCCTCGCTTCAGCAAGCGCTCGATGAAGCTGAACGTATTATAAATGCACGTATTGCGGCTCCATTGCCAAGAGATCTCGATAGCCTCGAACATTTGGTATTAGAACACAAAGATTATGAACAAAATTTGCAACAATTGGCACCGGAAGTCGATCAAGTACAACAGACTTTCCGTGGTATTACTTTGAAGACTCCAGCAATGAGAAATAAACTCGATAGCGTAATGACCAAATGGAATCATCTTTGGAATCTTAGCAATCTTTACATAGAACGTTTGAAATGCGTAGAAATCGTACTTTCTAGTCTCGAAGAAAATACCACGGTTATATCCGAATTTGAAATAAAATTGGCATCGTTCGGTGAATTACCGTCGGACGTTAAAGGTCTTCAAAATGTTCTCGAGGATCTCATGATCCTTCAAAATGCCATTGCTCAGCAACAGTCATCTATTGATCAATTGAACGACGACGCCCACAACGCCAGACGTCTCGTTGAAAAATCAAGACATAATCATCATGGACCACACGGTGATATGGATAGATTAGATTCCGAGGTCAACAGATTGAACGCTAGATGGACTAATGTTTGTGGTCAGCTCGTTGATAGATTACGTAGTGCGGAAGCGGCTTATAGTCTCGCACAACAGTACCATAATTCGTATCAAAATGAGGTTGACTTCATCGACGAATGCTATATGAAACTCGAATTGGAGAATGCTAAGGTAGACAAAATTCTTTTATTCTTTTTATATATATATATATAGTTTATTTTTTTTTTTTTTTCTTAATCTTTATTAATTTATTTGCGAACGTGAGATTTAAGTTATTATTAAACATTGAAATGAAAACAACGATAATAATTTATAAACCATCCTTCAAATTTCCGTGCAGAATTTGTTAAACAGAGTTGTGGATCGTGCTCCAGCAATCGAAGCAGTCAACGTTACTGGTGGAAGATTAATTCGCGAAGGCAAGGTAAGATGATAAGGTTTATATCGTAGCAATTGGATTTTTGTATTTTATTATTTTTTTTTGTTTCTCTTTCAATAATTAGCTTTAGCAAATGGTATGAATGCAATGTGTGAATGAGATTTAGATATTTTACACAAACACATTACGTACACGTACACGTACTTATACGCACAAAACATTAATGATTTTCCAGCATCGTATATTTATTTTATATGTATTATATTACATGTAAAGTTATGAAAAACGTAACTACTTTCAGCAATTTAAGGAATAAGCCGCAGCAAACTTAGATTTAGTAAAAGTAATATATATATATATAAATCAAATTGATATTTCTCTTTAGAGATTCATACTCGAATGTGATTTTATCAAATCGCTGTTACTAAAAATCGCTGCTTTTACTATATTCTCAAGAAATACATGAAGCAAAAGATCGATTAACTCATTGAAATTTTCTAATTCATTATGGGCTAAGTAATTATTATACTCAGCTCATTTTTCTAATCACAAACATAATATACAAAGAAATATATATATGGATAGATAGATAGTAGAGTTGAGTAAGCAGCTCATTCTGATCGATTGGCTTTCGCATAATTTTTAATTATTTTTTTTTTTTAAAGCAACCAAAGCTTGCGGGTCTAATTCGCTAAAAATACGTATTTATTACGAGTGACCCAGTGTGGTATAATTAAAACTCTCGATTGACCTTATTCGATTAACCTTGATATTTATTTATTTTTTTTTTTTTTTTGTATTCCCGAAATGTAACGAAATAAAGAAATTGATAGGGAAGTTATTATAACATAGCAATTTACATCAACGCAATTTACCAAACGGGCAATAATTGTCTAACACTCAAGACAAGATATAAAAGAAAAATAAAAAAAAAAAAAATAAAAATCATTCTTGAGAAGCTATATTAATAAAGTAACGTTAACGCAACGAATACTTACACAACGGCATCACATTGGGTCGTCGTCGATTCTATATAGAAAAGGAAAGAAGCGAATACCATGTTAAATGCGTTTCTTTACCTTCGCTTTTGGCTAACGGTAGTGGATCCAAATGATCTAATTCACTAACCGTAACGGACTAACCGAACCCCATAGATCTATGGACAAAGGCTCAGAGCATTCAAAGAACAGCTGGAAGAAGTGTGCCCATCGTTGGATGCATCAGTGAAAAGACCACGTAGAGAACCGGTAACTACGGTGGATGGAGTTGCGCGTGACCTTGACACACTAAATAGAAAATATACTACCCTATTGAGTCTACTTCAGGAACGAGTTAGGCAGTTGGCCTTGTTATATCCCGAAGATATCTCTTTGCAGGTGAGTTAATATCAATGACATTTAATTTTTATAATGATTTAATATCGAATTAGTGTTTATTATTTGATTGGAACTGGATATCCTTGGATCGCCATTTTATCCTTCGTACGAGTTTTTGATCTGATTATATTTAGAATACTATCATTAATTGTTATACATTTGTTCTATTATTATATATTTTTTTTTTTTGTTTTTTTTTTTTCTTTTTTTTTTTTTTTTTTTTTTTTTTTTCTTTTTTCTTTCTTTCTTTCTTTTGATATCCAAGCGAATACAGTCAATAAGTTAGCGCAGGCTTCGTTAGGGACGATCGTTTCTACCGCCTTCCATTTTGGATCGATAAATGCGCGAGGACATCGCGTTCTGTTAGTTTTCAGACTGCGTTGGATCGTGTGGCGGCGCGAGCAGTAGCAGAACAGATAATGACTCGGCCTTTGCACGCCTTGTCATTCCACCTGCTTACGTCTTTCGAGTCAGGAGAACTAAACTCTTATTCACAGTCTCGTCGTCTGTTAAATCGAACGGAACTCTCTAGAAAGAGATCTCCTTCCATCGTCAGATACTTTTCGATTAGTTTTACTTTCGCTTTCATTCGATTTATTTAATATTTTTTTTGTTTTTTGTTTTTTTTTTTTCTTTTTGTTTGTCAACTCGTGATTATGACATAAGGTGTTACGCATTGACTGTTGTGTGACATTTTTGACAGGATGACCGGTGTTAAGATCATTCGAAAGGTGCAAGTTAAATCTTAAATCGTCATCTTTATTTCTTTTTTTTTTTTTTTTTTGTTTTGAATTTTTTTCCCTTTTTGTATTTTTTTTTTTTTTTTCGTTTTTTGTTCCCATAGTGATATTCTTAAGTGATTTTTATAGAAACTTTGTATTTGTCAGTGTGATGAGAATTTATTTTATTTTCTTTTTTCTTTTTTAATCAATATTTATTAAATTTATCCTAAAGATCTTTGGATTCGATTAAAACATTAGTGTTAATAAACGAAGATTTTAACATCAAATTTTTAATCGCAATATCTTGCTATACTTTCTATAAAGATATACATACAATTATCCCGATTAGATAGCAACACTCAATTCCTTATCAGTCGAGCATACGTTTGAATTATTTAAGTGATCGTGATGTCATCGAGAAAATGATCATAGTTAACAATACCTTTCTCTTGCACAATTTATAAATCTTTCTATTATTTAACTTCCTTAAGATAAAAATTTCTCTATATTCAGTAGTTAAATAAATCGAATATGTTGCAAGAGTTCAGTAACATTTTTTCGAGTTCCTGTGAGTCATCTTACTTATGTATAGTCTTTAGGGTCTTATAAAAATAACATTGAGAAGTAGGCGAGAAAGATGAAGAAAATCTTCATCACAAAATTGAAAATAATATCTATCTATCTCTCTCTCACTCTCCTTCTTTCTCTTTCACTCACTCTCATTCTCGTCTTTTTTTAAATGATAGTAAACGTATTTATGTTTTGAATGAAAATGAAATCGATCGGAGACGAATGAAGTCACGTGTCCTATCTATAACTATATTTCTAATCATAATATCGTATTGCAGTCCGTAGATATTACAAAATTGAGGAGAATTGACCAATAGCAGAACAGTATTCATTCATCTTCGTATTATCGGAAGAGAGATACATAAAAAAGAAAGAGAGAAAGAAAAAAAAACAAAAAAGAAAGAGGTTGTATTTAAAAATGGCGCGTATAAAGCGTATTAGTTCGTCTGAAACGATGTTAGGCTTTTGGCACGAGTCTAAGCGATTTTAGTATCAGTATCCCGGGCGAGCTCGTCGCGTTAACGTGGTGTTGCGTGACGTTCACCGGCCGGGGAGGGAATGAGATCTTTTAATTTGATATTATTACAATTGAGATATTAGTAGTAGTAATAATAGTAGTAGTAGTAGTAGTCAACGATCTATGAAATATTCATTAACACATTCGTTGGAAATAATTTATAAAACGAGGTCAAGATCCTTCGAGTTTAATTATCGAGTTACGTTCTTTTAAAATCTTTTTTAACTCTCATAAAAGTGACTTGATTGACTTGATTAGGAAAGGAAAGAAGAAGAAAAAGAAAGAAACCATGTAGATTTATTTTTACGTGAACTTAATCTAATTATAATAAAAAAAAAAAAAAAATAAGGAATAAAGAAAACAACGTAATTTATTGGATTATTATGTGAGTGATCGTTATCAATGATGGTACTCACGGAAAGAAAAATTATTACCAAGGTAATAAAATTGGGAATACGTGTGACTAGACAGATCGTGTGATGGACATTCTGTGTCAAAAATTTCGAGGCGAGTGAGATCTCGAATCGATCTAGGAATAGAAGTTTTAAAGTACACACGCGGTAAACAGAAATGTGTCGCAATCATACGATTTCACTCTCATATTATAGAGAAACCGACCGATCTGACGTCATACATCTAGTTACGCAATTTCGTTGGAAGCAATGTTGATCCGTTCAGAGAATTTAATATTCAAAGATTAGCGTAATTTGTTACATCGTAAAAAAAAAAAAAAGAAAACATACTAACGATGCCGTCATTTTCTTTTCTTAGACGCAGACTCACAACTTATGGCTCCGATATATTTCTCTTTTTTTCTTTTTTGTTCACTCTGTTCTTTCTTTCTTTCTTTCTTTCTTTCTTTCTTTCTTTCTTTCTTTTTTTATTTATCTTATACATTGTGTGTTATGTAAAATATTAGGCCATCGAAGTCGATTCTTTCTATCTCGCTCCTCTCATTGTTCTCGTACTCTTCCCCCGTCTTTTTTTTTTCGATCGTAAAAATTATTTCGAGCCTCGGACGACTCTACTCTAACGCACATTATTTCACTTCACTTTGAGTTTAGCATAAAAGTTATCACTCGAGAATTACGCGTCTCCCTAAATTTCGACGAAGATAGAAACATGTTTCGTGACTTTAGCCGATAAAGAAAAGAAAAAGTATACTTTAAACGAGGCGTTAACGTAAGCTGTGAGCGAGCCCCAGCTGCAACGGAAGCTGAACGTGCTCTAAAAATATGATCTCGTCCAGCGTTTAGCATCGCCCAGCAATCGGCGAAAATTGACAACTTTTCTCTCCCCTCTCTCTTCCTTCCTCACTTTTTCGCTTTTTTATCTTTTTTTTTTTTATCTATCCGTTCCTAAAATTTTCAAGCATTTAAGAATAATTCCATATACTCCAGAGACTTTTAGTCTATTTTGTTTTTTCTTTTTTTTTTTTTTTTTTTTTTTTTTTTTTTTTTTTTTTTTTTTTTTTTTTTTTTTTTTTATCGTTTTATAAAAAATTTGAAAAAAAACTCATAACATTTATATCGAAATTAATATACTCGACTTATGTTTTAGCGTGCTCTTCAAGAGCAACGACCTCTGCGGACATTCCGCACGGAATTTAACATCTACGAGAGTACAACTAGCGAGGAACGTTATACCTCAACAACGACACATTACACTCAATCGCAGTGAGTAATTCGTGGAAAAAAAAAAGAGAAAGATAGAGAAAAAAAAATTAAAAGAAGAAATTTAATCGAGAGATCTCATGGAATTCCTTTTCGATTGATTTCCCAACAGGTACATCACAGAAAAACACGAATCAACGGAGACCAGTGTGAGTAGCGATTCCATTCGTCGTAGTACAAGTCGTGAATCATCGCCATTGAAACGTGCAAGAACAGAGGGACAACAAGATGTTGGTTATTCTCCTCGAATCAGTGGCGTTACCGAGACGTCAACGACGACGACGGATTCTACTACCGACGCTCGAAGCACCATGCAATTTAGCGAAATTAGGAGTCTTAAGAGGATACACAGGGCTGAGGAGGGTATCAGTACGGACAACGTGATAGATGCTAGGGGTATCGTTCATCCAAGTACTGGGAAGATACTAACGGTTGGCGAAGCTATAAGACTTAGGATTCTTGATGTTAGAAATGGTAGAATAGCAACCTCGAGCGACGCGAAAACAAGCGTGACGATTGAGGAAGCTGCGCGAATGAATCTGATAGATGGAAATCTGGCGAATCACTTATTGGGACCTTGTGGGGTAACGGAGGACGGTCGACAAATCTCACTACTCGAGGCTATTCAACAGGAGCTCTTTGATGCCGAGAGAGGGGATGATAGAGTTAAGGTAACGACCAGTTTCTCGGGTGTTAGCGTTGCCGATGCGATGAGCGAGGGTTTGTTGGATCCAATAACGGGTCAAGTTATTACGGCCAACGGTGAAAGAATCTCCATCGAGGAGGCATACTCTAGGGGTTATTTAACGAAACTCGATGTCACGGTTAAAGTTAAAAAGAACGCTCTTGCACTTTCCGACGCGATATCCCAAGGTCTTGTCGACGATAGGTCAGGTCGTATTCTTGATAGAGTTACTGGGGAATATTATCTATTGAATGAGGCTATAGAAAAAGGTGTTATTGATCCTGATGTTAAGGAAGTGGTCGATGCGCGTAACGATATCAAGTTGACGGTAGCTGAATCAATACAGCAAGGTATATTGAATCCAAAGAGTGGTAGGTATATGCACGGTTTATCAATGGAAAGATTATCCTTGAAGGAGGCACGTCGAAGGCAACTTATCGTTAAACCGATGACTCTTAAGGATTGTTGCGATTTGGAAATAATCGATGAAACTGGTAGGATAGCCAGTCCAGCGCATCGGAAAAAATTGACGGTATTGGAAGCCATATCGAGAAGTGTCTTAGATTCAGAGAATCTCAAATCTATAACGGATACGAAAGCCGGAGAACCGATTACTTTGTCAGATGCATTGTCCAAAGGCGTTGTTAAACCGGAAGGTACATTCAAAGACACTTTAAAAGACGAGGAATTGAGTATACAGGAGGCGGTAGATAAGGGTTTGGTCATGTCAATCACACAAAAGACTATTTTTGATATCGATGGTTTTAAAGATCCCGTTTCTGGAGAATACATCAGCTTAAACTCTGCTCTTTTAAAAGGTTTGATAAGTCCAAAATCAGGAGGTTCTTATATAATCGATTTAAAAACTGGAAAGACAGTTCCCTTGGACGTAGCCGAAGAACAGGGCTTCGTTAGATCAACGGTATCGGAGATGCTTAATTGTGGTATTGGAATTACGGAGGAGGGTCGTGAAATTAGTGTGTTAGAAGCTGTTTTATTAGAATTAGTCGATCCAAAATCAGGTCAACTGTTGGATCCACGAACTAAAAGAATAGTTCCTTTGGAAGATGCCATTAAACGTGGATTAATTACACCAGACGGAGCTGCGTTGCTTACAAGTCTGTTAAATATCGCTGTAACGACCCAAACAGTTACCAAAACTGTGAAAAGATATGTAACCGTATTGGAGACAGGAGAAGTGATCAATCGAGATTGTAAAATCACTTATGCAGAAGCTATTGAACATGGTTTAATCGATCAAACTAATAAAATCTTCACGGATCCTGACAGCGGAAAAATTATGAGTGTTCATCAAGCTATAGAAGAAGGTTTACTTGGTAAACAAATGGAAGAAACGCCTGCTGGAAAAATACATTTTCCATCTAAACAAGTCACTTTTGAAACTACCCTAGTCACAAACGTTGGTAACGTTGATAGTTCGGATGAAAGAGAGAAATCGCAACCAATAGCAATTGGAACGACTACGACTATTATAACTAAAGAAATCGTTCCACCGAGCGAAGACAAGTTAACACAATCTGCAATTACTAAACCTTCAGTCGTTTCAACGACTTTCATACCTTCGTCATCGATCGAATCTACCATTAAAAATGGTACGGTATCTCCAATGAAAACTAGTCCACCATCTTCACCAGATAATATCGATAGATCACGATCCAAATCGAAGAGTCCTTCGCAGCATAGAGAAGAACAAAAAATGATGATCGATTCGAATTCATTCTCGACTAATAAAGATTCGAATGAAACGAAAATTGAGACGCAAAGCTCAGTGACAACTACTAGAAATCATAAATCAGAAGTTAGTTCGTTTATAGAAAGTGAACGTATTTTAACAGAGAAACGAGTGTTCGAGTTACCATCCGATGGTTGGACACTTGCTGATGCCATTAATCAGAAACTGTTCGATCCAGCTACTGGTTTGTTTATTATACCAGGTACTGATAGATTAGTATCATTCGAGGAATGTATAAAATTACAAATCATTAATCCAAATTCTGCAGCTGTGATTGATCCAAATAATGGAAGGAAAGTGTCATTAATGAGAAGTTTGGAAAAAAATATTTTAGATTCCACGGGGCATTATACTCATCCACAAAAAATATCTATGAAAGAGGCAATAGAAAGGCAGTTGGTAATACTTCAATATAAATCCTCCGATTTCGATGAAACAAATCAAAGACTATTACAAATCACTAAAATTTCTGGGAAGCCTGATAAAGTAGAATTAACACACATTGATGATCCAACGAAGGATACTGAAATCAAGGTAACAGACGAATCGTCCATTCTGGATCCTGTACAAGTATCGCGAGGTGTAATTTATGATCCTGCAACGGCATTAGTTATCTCGACCGATAACGGTACATCCGCCGATTTATTAAAAGCTGTCAACGATGGTACTTTGCAGTCTAAAGATGTAATAGTTCGTGATCCATCAACTGGTAAAAACATTGCAATGCCTGAAGCGGTGGAACGTGGTATACTCGATTCAAAGACTGGCGAATATAAAGTCGACGATGATAGAAAATTGTCTTTGCTCGATGCAACGAAATTTGGTTTGGTAGCAGTCGTTGGTGCTCCTTTGGTGGCAGCAGCAGCTGCCGTTGAAGCTGTTAAAAAAACTATGATCAAAGATCCTAAGACAGGAGAGAAAATACCTCGAGAAGTTGCTATAGAACGTGGTCTTGTCCCACCAGAAGAAGTATTGAATGTTAAATCATCCCCAGCTATTACTGCAACAGAAACTCTATTAGAAGATTTACGAGCAAGTACAGACATTCCGGTATCTGATCTTAAAACGAATGAAAGCGTATCATCGAGCGATGTTGAACCATCGAGACAAGAAAATGGTGAAAACGTAGAAGTAAAGGATACGGTTGTTACGAAACCATTTACACCTGAAGAAGATATTACCGATAGAGCGTCGTTGGTAGCTAAAGCAAGAGCAAGAGTAACTACGGAGCCAAAGTATACAGTAACGATTGGTAAAGCTAGATCATTTTCGCAAAGTCCAGAAAGAGAAGCTAAACCGATCGTGCTTCAAAAAATGAAGAAGAGAATCGTTAAAGCTAGCGAAGCTATGGAAAGTGGTCTAATCGATGAAGAAACGATACAAATTATTGAAACTGAGATCTCTGGAGATGGAGAAAAGAAAATGACATTGTCCGAAGCTATTGAAAGTAATAGGATAGATGCTGATAGTGGTAAAATCGTAGATCCACAAAGAGGTGATGTTTTATCCATAAAGGAAGCTATCGATCGTGGAATCTTAGATCCAGAGAATGCAGATTTACTTCTTCCCTTAGCAAAGAGTCTTTCTATTCCAGGATTATACAAGCAAGGTCTGTTAGATCCTCAAGAAGGCAAGATTGTTCATCCAGAAACAGGTGCTCATCTTACTCTAAACGAAGCCATAGTTTGTGGAATAGTCGATCCATTATCAAAAATAATTCAACCAAACGGACAATCAGATACTTTAGAAAATGCCATCGCAAATGATGTAATCGATGCCGACAGATCATTAGTTAAATTCGAAGATGGTTGCGTTAATTTAGTTAAAGCTGTGGAAGAAAATGTATTTGAAAAGTGTGAGACGACTAAACCTTTTGAGTTGCCACCAACTGGCATGACTTTCCCAGTAGCTTTGAAACGTGGCTTGATCGATCCATCCAAAAATGAAATTAGACATCCTATCACAGGTGAAAGTATATCTTTGAAAGATGCTATAGCATCTGATTTTATAATGACTCTGCCTTATCCAGCTGCGCCAGATAGTATTAAAGTAACAGAAGCTCTCGAGTCAGGTCTTATTGACAAAGAGAAGGGTGTATTTATTCATCCTACAAGTGGTACATCCATACCAATAGTAGAAGCTGTAGAATCTGGTCTTCTGATTGTAAAAACACCAGTAAAAGATGAATGCATCAGTACGATTACCGAAACAGTGACATCTTATCATACGATTACCACGAAAACTGTCGAACTTCTGCCAGGATATGTTTTATTAAATGCAAAACTAGTTCAGAATCTTGAAACCGGTGATACTCTTACGATCGAAGAGGCACGTGATCAAGGAATCGTTAAAGATGAATCTGAGAAGAAAGAAGAGTTTACAACCAAGGATATAAGGATTACTTTCAGTGATGCTGTAGAAAAGGGTTTGGTTGATATGAATGCAGGAACTTATACTGATCCTAACACGGGTGCTATTATGCCAATTTCAAAAGCAGTAGAAGTTGGTATTCTTGATACCTCAGTTCAGACAAATGAGCCTAGTACTTCTATACCAACTACACAAAACAGTTTGACCATTTTAGAAGCTATAGAACAAATTTATGATGATAATACCGAATCTTTTACTGATCCTGAATCGAAAAAATCGTACAATTTAACTGAAGCAATAGAAGTTGGCTTGATCGAGCCTGATTCTGTTTTGTACGATGTAAAAACAGCAGAAACTATAACAACGAAAGAAGCTGTAGAAAAAGGTCTGCTCGATCCTCAAACCGGTAAAATAAAACAAAAAGATGGAGGAAGCTCAATGAGTATTACTCAAGCCGCAAAACTCGGGCTTTTAGCGGTCGTCGCTGCACCCGTTTTAGCTGGAAAAGCTGTAGTCGATGCGATTCAAACAAGAGAAACTAAAAAATCTAGTTCACCTGTAGAATCTACCTCAGCAGTAGAACCTACCTCAATTTCTGCATTAACACAAAGTAAAATTGATGCGGTAGAACCTATCTCAATATCTGCAGCAACACAAAGTAAAGTCGATGTAGTACAACCTGTCACAGTTTCTGCAGCAACACAAAGTAAAGTCGATGTAGTACAACCTGTCACAGTTTCTGCAGCAACACAAAGTAAAGTCGATGTAGTAAAACCTGTCACAGTTTCTGCAGCAACACAAAGTAAAGTCGATGTAGTAAAACCTGTCACAGTTTCTGCAGCAACACAAAGTAAAGTCGATGTAGTAAAACCTGTCACAATTTCTGCAGGAACACAAAGTAAAGTCGATGTAGTAAAACCTGTTGTCACAGTTTCTGCAGCAACACAAAGTAAAATCGACGTAGTAGAACCTGTCTCAGTTTCTGTAGTATCACCACAAAGTAAAGTCGATAAAACGATTGAACCCGAACAGGTTCAAAAATTACCCGATGAAATAGAAGGAGTTCCATTGGATGAAGAATCCAAACTTCTATCTACACCAAAGGCTAGTGCAAAGGAAGTTTTACAAAAAGAAGAAAAAGAAGTGTGCGATTCATTTATCGCTAATGAAAAATTAACAGCATCGATAGAAGAACCTCAAACAACAAAAATATCTGATACAATTGAAATAAAAAATCTAGATCAACAAGAAAGAGAAGATATAGATCAACAGGAAAGAGAAGATATAGATCAACAGGAAAGAGAAGATATAGATCAACAGGAAAGAGAAGATATAGAAGATGCAGATGAAAAATCTGAAGAGAAATTGTCGCAAATAGTCGTATCGAAGGATTTATCACCACGAGATCTAGCTAATCGAGGTCTATTTAATATGGAAAACGAAAGATTCGTTGATCCTACAACAGATAACATTGTTTCGTTCAACGAATTCGTTCTCGATTTACAAATCTTTGATCCCGACAACGTGTGGGTTAAAGATCTATCAAAGAAATCTGATAAATATGTCACTCTTCGAGAAGCAATCGATAGACCACTCGTAGATAGAAATGTAGGATATATGGTAGATCCTAAAAGTGGTAAGAAAATACCATTCTTCGAGGCAGTCAAACTTGGATGGATTGAACAAAGACCTAGCAGTGTTGAAAAGGAACCTTTAACTTTAAGCTTACAAGAAGCAGTAGAAGTAGGTGTTTGTGATCCTATTAACGCACAATTTCATGATCCGAAATCTGGAGAACCATTATCTTTATCTGAAGCAGTCGAAGTTGGGCTAATCGATGCTGATTCCCTAGCTATAAGAAATCCAATTAGTGATGAAATATTACCTCTATCTGAAGCATTAGAATCCGGTGTGATAGATCTTCATAGAGGGGTCATTATCAATATTGAAACAAGGACAGAAATTGATATCAAGGTTGCTTTCTTAAAGGGTATGATAGTACCACGTGCTAGAAAACCAATTTCTCTCGAAGCTGCGATAAACAATGGCATATACGAGCCTAATACAGGAAAGATACAAGATCCTTTGACTAAACAATTCGTAGATGTTGAAGAAAGTGTTCGAAGAGGTATAATCGATGCTTTCATCACCGAATGTCAGGATACTAAAGCTGGCTCTTTCGTTTCTCTCGATGATGCACTAACTATAAATCTATTAAACTCAAAAATGGGACGTTTGCAAGATACAAAAGCTGGCGAACTTCTTCCTTTGGATACAGCATTAAACAGAGGCTTGATCATAACGACACCATTCGTGCCTTCTTTAATAGATGTTATAGCACAAGAATATTACTCTCCTAAAACTGGTCTTGTTCTTAATCCTGTGAACGGTGCAGAAATGACAATAAAAGAAGCTTTAACTACTGGCTATATCGACGACAGAACAACTATGATAAAGGATGACAGACGTGATAAAGTCGTGTCGATTAAAGAGGCAGCAGAAACATTATTAATAGATTTACAAAGTGGTTTATTAAATTATCCTCATTCCATGACATTAGACATTGCATTTGAAAAGGGTTATTTGTTAAGTACAACCAAACCTTGGACGTTACAAGAAGCTCTTGCTCATCAGACTTATGATCCTAAAACAGGTACCTTCACTATCGATGGAGAAAGTTATATGTTAGAAGAAGCTATTGCCAAAGGTATAATTAATCAAGACAGTCCATCGATCAAAGATCCACGAAATAACGATATTATATCTCTTGGTGATGCTATCAAACGTGGCCTTATCAATCCAAAAAGTGGAACAGCTATTGATCCTTCCACAGGTGTACCACTTTCTTTAACTGATGCATTGGATCGTGGCCTGGTAGTTCCAGCAAAACGAAAAATATCTTTACCAGAAGCCATATTCAAAGGTTTTTACGATCCAAAGACTGGTCACTTCATTATTCCAGACACACAAGAAAAGTTACCAACTGATCGTGCTATTAAAAAAGGTGTCATTGATACGACTACAGCAATCGTTCGACATGATAGTGGTGATGTAATTACATTCACCGAAGCTATAGAAAAGCTCATAGTTGATCCAAAAACTGGAACAGTAGCTACCGAAAAAGGACGACGTTTAGATTTTCACGAAGCTTTAGAACGTGGTCTTCTTTTGGAAACACGTAGACCAATGAGCTTCAGTGAAGCAATCTCAAAAGGTATATTGGACGATAAAACCAATACATTTTTGGATCCTCAAACTGGTACTTATTTAACAATATTGGAAGCTATACAAAAACATCTGATAGATGCAGATTCTGTAACAGTAAAAGATGTTAGATCACCGTTCTTAAAAACAATGCCATTGATGGAAGCAATAGAATTAGGCTATGTCGATGGTAATACTGGACGTGTTAAAGATCTCAACAAAGGTAACATTGAAATATCTTTACGCGATGCTTACGAATCCGGCTTGATCATAGACAATAAAGCGGCCGTGTCTTTGCAACGAGCTGTTCATCAAGGATTATACGACGATAAGACTGGAAAAATCATTGATCCTGGCACTAACAGAGCTGTAACTCTTCACGAAGCTATGAGAAAATGTATCATTGGACCTACCTTACCTTGCTATTGGGATAAAAGATCAGAAAGACTCTTGTCGCTTGCTGAAACTTGTCGTGCTGGTGTAATAGACAGACGTTCAGGCATGTTCAAAGAACCTGGTGCCAATTGTACAGTAACTTTATCTCTTGCATTACAACATGGGCTTATCGTCGATATCGAAAGCATGGGTTTTGGTTTATACGAAGCAATATTGATGGATATGTACGACTCATCATCAGGAAAATTCATACATCCATTGAATAATAAAAAGCTTACATTGGCTGAAGCAATTCAAATCGAAATGATCGATCCACTTACGTCGATCGTAAAGAATACTAAATCGAACAAATATGTTCTTTTGGCCGAAGCAATTTCTGATGGAATTATCGACGATATTCGTGGTACATACAATATCTCTGAAATCGACAAGGTAATGAATTTACAAGAGGCCAGAAAAAAAGGTTTCATAGTAACATCAAAAACTCCACTTTCGATAGAGGAAGCAGTGAAGTGTGGTCTTTATCGCGGTGACAGTGGCAAATTTGCAAAACCCACAGTTAATGAATTTTACGATTTAGTCCAAGCTCTTTCGGTCGAATTAATTGATCCTGATACAACTGCATTAAAAGATGCTACTACAGGACAGATAAAATCTTTACAAGTTGGTATCGATGATGGAACGATAGATGTACCCAGAGGCAGAGTACTCGATCCTAAAACCAAACGATCTTACAATATAGACGTTGCCTTCGAACGTGGATTATTAGTAACCGTAGAAAAACCATTGACTCTTCAATCACAAAGATCTTCTTTGGATGAACAAAAAGGATCTACCAAAGAAAGTAATACGAGAGAATGTACAGTCGAAGAAGCTATCAAATATGAATTTATTAATCCAAATGTATCGGTCGTTAGAGACCCAAGAAATGGAAGGTTCACAGTTTTGAAGAAAGCCCTTGCTGAAAGAATCATCGATCCTTCGGAAAAAGGAACGATCGAACCACAAGTTGGAAAATTATCGAGCAGATGCATACGTTTCGGTGAAAATACTGTTTTCCTATTACCACCTTTATCATTTGAAGAAACATTAGAGAAAGGACATCTTTCCTTCGAAACTGGAAAGGTAACAGATCCAAATAGCAATGAACAAATAACTTTGAAAGAAGCCGTCACTCTTGGTATCATTGATCCAGATTCAGCATTGATAAAAGATGCTCAAAAGAAAAAATTAGTTAGATTGCCGGAAGCTTTCAGGAAAGGGATGATGGACCCGGAAAAAGGCAATGTCTTAGATACGGATACATCTAAATTATATACCTTATCTAAAGCCGTAGAAATTGGTTTAGTTATGACTCCCAAACAAGGCTTTTCGTTCATCGAAGCACTCGAGTTTGGTCTTTATAATCCAACAACTGGTAGCTATCACGATCCATTCTTAATAACTTCGGTATTAGAAAGAAAACGCTTGACTTTAGCAAGTGCAATAGAAGGGGGTTTAATAGATCCGTCTACAACAGTGATCAAAGATCCTATTAGTGGTAATATCGTAAGTTTGTTGGAAGCTGTAAATAGTGGAAAGGTAGATAGTGTGGCGGGCAGGTTTTTTGAAGATCCAGAGGGAAAGAGTATCGACTTCGTGAAGGCCATGGAACGTGGTTATATACTCACCGCAGAAGCGAGGGTAAGTCAGAGAGCTTTTGATGCTATCCATCTCTTTTATTTTTCTTTTTTTTTTTTTCCTCTCCTCTTAATATTGTAACAACCTAATATTATAGCTTGTGCTAGAGGTTAAGGATTGTTGCACTTTTCTGCTTTCCAAAAGTCCCGGTTGCCATCATTGATATATATATATATACATACACACATGCACATAGATCGACTCATAATCGTGGACCTCGATCTATATATCGTGTCCATTATCGATACGATATTCGAAGGCATGTATTTATTTTCCCTAGCATGGGTCTCACGATAAACATATATCACACATTTTAACATATTCTAATCTTAGAATTAAAATCTACGTATCCATCATGATATATTACGTATATAACATAATTAAAATCAATTTAGTGAAATTTGCATGGAACTCGTCGAAATCATTAATTTATAATTAAATGAAAAAAAAAAAAAATCATCGTTCGAATATATATATATACTTATAAATAAATAAACATTTATCGTTTTATGTTGTGTTTCATGGCGGAATAGTTTTATTTTATGTCTTCCTTTTTTTTTTTTTTTTTTTTTTTTTTTTTTTTTTTTTTTTTCTCTCTTTTTTTATTTATTAAATATCCTTGATGTCCATGCATTATCCATGCTTATTATCACTTATCGTATAACACTTGGGGTAATTAATTAAGTAAACAAAAGGAATCGATCATTCTTTTCATTAAAACAAAACTGACAGACTAACTACATAAAAAATGTTTCTCTCAGGCTTCCAACAGTTCATCATCCATCGAACCTCGCGTGATCCGAGGGTATAACGCAATTCACAAATCAATGACATTGTTATTTTTTGACATCGTTTACTATGATATAAATCCATTAATCCCAAATCATCTTGTCGCAACAGCAACGCTAATTCGGCCTTTTATTAAACAAATAATTAAGTAATAATCATTTTATAAGTAACATGTGACAATGTAACACGTCTATATTTTATATACTTTAAGTATTCAATATATATATATATATATGTCGGTTGCATTTCATTCTACAAAGATTGACATGAGAAATAGTTGAATTTTAAAGAGTAAGACGAGATCAAAGATTCGAAAATGTTTCTGGTAGATAATTATGATTAGAAGGCCAAATTAGTATCATTGATTTTTGATTATAACGAGAAACAATTTCTTCATTCAATATAATGTCACAAATTCAATTTTTTTTCGGAAATCCACTACAAATTCGTTTATTAATACAATCCTACATCATAATTTCTTTCAAAAGCATTTTCTAATCATTTTAAGATCGAACATTCATAAATTATTATATAGAACGCAAGTCGTTTATCTTCTATTAAATACAAAGCTTTCTTTTTAATTTACGTAACGTAATATTGCATAAAAATTGAATGAACATGTTGAAATTTTTTAACACACTTTTTCTAATTTAATATTTTATATTTCTAAATATTGATATTATAGCACAGAAATATTATTATTTATAATTTAATTTCAATGAATAATCTTTGAGTTTGAAAGATAATTTATATATATTAACTTTAATTGTCTCTCTTATTAAGTTTTAATGTTTACTACTTTTTGTATATGTGTTGTTATTTATTAATGATAATTGTTATATTTTAAATGTTTTTTACTTTTTTACAGGTGTAATATTGTGTTTATTTGTTTGAATTTTTAGCACGACTTTTAATGGAAACCATTCCACATAATTATATAACATATTGTTATGACATATATTTTATACATATTTACAAGTTTATTACAAGAATTATTATATCGTGTCATATATTTTACACTTTCATCGTTATGCGTTTTAATTTATTTGCTATAAAAAGAAAAAAAAAGAAACGAAGAAAAACGAACAGACTATAATTAATCGGAGGCCTAGTTTCATATTCACATTCAACATTGGTTATGCTTCAAGCTGCATATGAAAAAAAACATACGTAAAATATGCAGCTCTTTGCAGATAAATTAAAGCTACCATACAAAACTGTATCTCTACTTGTACGTTCTCAGTGTATGTGTGTTTGTGCTTGCATGTGTGAGATATGTCATAAGCTTCTTCTTAATCTCTCCTTATTTAGCTACTGTCATTGGTAAGCTGGCAGTATTCTTTATACTCGCAAAAATTTCCTTTTATTTTCTCAACTATTTGCGTAGAGAGAACAACTCTTAGCTCCCAAATCATTTCCAAGAGAACGACGATGATCTATTTTCGATAATTTTTTTATAGCAAGCGGTTGAAGAGAAGTATAAATTGTGCGATGAAACGTTATCCAAACTCCTTCAATGGATATCCGAGGTCGAAGATAAACTTGCCAATCAAGATACCGTCAGAGAAGATATCGAAGAATTAAGAAATCAAATAAACATCATGAAAGTAAGTTATTCCCAAGTTTTTATAATAATTTTATTAACAAAATCAGATATTTTCTGACGCATACATGATTATAGGAAATAAAGGAGGATTTAGAATCTCATGGACGTCAAGTTTCATCTTGTCTGGACCAAGTTCGTCAAGTCGTTTTAACAGGTAGCGACGTATTGTCAAGTGATGAGGTATCGACATTAGAAAAAAGTGGCAGGTCACTTAAAACAAGATTCGACAAAACTACTGATCGTGCTGATAAGTTAGTCAGACGATTGGTAGGAGCCAGAGACGAATTATGCAAATTCAAGTTAGTAAAAATTATCTGATGGATCTATTAATTGTTATAAAGATGTTGTAAAGATTTGAAGTAACAATGTTCATTAATTTTTAGAAACGAACTCTCAACATTCTCCGTATGGTTGGATAAAGCATGTCGAACTTTAGAAAACAAGGAAAGATCTTTATCGGATTTAAATAAATTAAGCAGCAGTGCAGACACCACGCGCGATTTCATCAGCGATGTTATAGCTCATCAAGCAGACCTTAGATTTATAACCATGGCTGCACAGAAATTCGTCGACGAAAGCAAAGAATACTTGCAAATTTTGAACGACTTTAGAACAAGTTTGCCACAAAGATTACCTCATAAAGAGCCAACAGCCAGTCAAGATTCGCCAGTAAGACACGAGGTCTCTCTTGTAACGACACAATACAAAGATTTGTTAACACGTGCCAATCAATTGTCAGATAGATTGTCAGGAGTTGGTGGAAAACAACGTGATTATAATGAATCATTAGAAAAGGCAAATACGTGGTTAAAGGAAGTAGAACCAAAAGTGCATCGAATTATATCCGAGGCTATTGCAGCCGAGCCAAAACAAGTGGAGGATCAATTGAACAAAGCAAAAGCATTGAACAACGAATTATTAGCTAATGAACGTTTAATAGACGCAGCGAAAAATGGCGTCGATGCTCTACTTAGATCGCTTGATGGACAATTGACTCCACAGGAAGTCGATGCACTTCAGGATCCAGTTAGGGTAATCGAAGATAAGTACAGGCAATTAAGCGAGGCTTTGCAAGTTAAATGTCAAGAATTGGACACAGCGTTGGTGCAATGTCAAGGTGTTCAGGATGCTTTAGATGGTTTGGTTGTATGGTTGAACAATGCTGAAAGTCAGTTCAAGTAAGTGATAATAACGCATTTCTTCTTAAATTGTCATTAATATCTTTTTTTCTCTTTTTTATACAATATAAATATGTTTTTTATTTTTCGTACATGAAGGAATCTTCAACGTCCTGCAAGTTTGCAAAAAGAACATCTCGAAGAACAACAAAGAGAACAGCGTCTACTTCAAGCAGACTTGGATAGTCATCGTTTAAGCGTAGATGCCATTGCTGCAAGTGCCCAAGATCTTTTATTAAATTCAAACAATGTTCGCGTTGCTAAACGTATCGAGGGTAAACTCAAAGATGTACAAAGTAGATTCGAAAAACTTATGGACAAGTCTTTACGTCGCGGAGAATTCCTCGACGATGTTTCTCAAGCTCTTAATGAATTCCTTACTGAAACATCTAAATTTGAAACGTGGTACTCGCACATGATCGAGTCACTTGAATCTAGAGAATTGAATAAACTCGATGTATCTGAGTATGAAAGTAAAATGGCAGAATTGATCGATAGACGTGAAGATCATAGAGGTCATTTCGAAGATCTCATTCGAAATGGAAAGAATTTGGTTTCTAAGAAAGATATTACTGAAGCTACTGCTATTAGGGATAAGATCAAGGTACTTGAATCTCAATGGAAAGAAATGAACAATCTTCTTGACGAAAAACAGAGACTTAGTAAATCAAGAGCGGAACAATTATCAGCTTACGAAAAATTACGTGATCAAGTGATAGATTGGTTGACACGTACAGAAAATAAATTACAGAGATTAGAGCCAGTAGCTGTTGATTTAGAAAAACTGAAGAAGCAAGTTGAGGAATTGAAACCTATACAAAAAGAATATCGTGATTATGGTGGTACCGTTGATAAAATAAATGATCTTGGTATAACTTATGATAGTTTATTGAAGGAACGTGGTGAAAGTCCAACTCGTCGTCGTGGTAGCACTAGCCCTACAAAAAGACCAGGTAATTAAAAAATGATAATTAACGATATATCTCATCGCACACATGAAGATATTGTTAATACACCTATCATCTCATTACGCGGATGTAGATGATTGTTTTTTTTTTTTTTCTCCAATATACATACATTACTTTTTTTTCTTTTCTCTTGCATTCTGATTTACGCGTATCATCATCATCTTACTCATCACTTTTCTTTTTATTTTTTTTTATTTTTTTTTGTAGTCCGACGAATGTCACAAGACGGTCGTTCACCATCTCCTACAAAAGGCTACGCACTACAAAGTCCGGTATCTCCAGGTGGTAGCAGTGGATTCAGCAGCCGACGGTCTAGCCAGGATGGTTTCCATTTGGAAGATTTATCGCCTGTTCAACAACAATTATCAGAAATCAATAATAGATATGGTTTGCTAGGTGTGAGATTATCTGATCGGCAAACAGATTTGGATAATGTTAAAGAAGAGTTAAGAAAACATTTGGATAATTTGAAAGCACTTTCTCTCTTCCTGGATAAGGTAAAAATTTGTTTTTATTCTTTTAATATATTTTTAATTTCACTATTTGATCTTATATATGTATATATATGATCTATATATTTTTAGATTCAGCGCCAACTCCCGAAAGAAAGTATTCCAACAATTAAAGACGAAGCAGATAAAACTGTAAAACAGATAAAAGTGATCGTTGAAGAGATGTATGAAAAGCAATCATTATTAGATAGTACAAGGACCCAAGTACGTGATCTGGTTAGGCGTAAGAAGGGAGCTGATGGTAGCGATAGGCTTAACGATGAAATGGAAGATGTGGCAAGTCGTTGGAAGTCAATTTCTGATAGATGCAAGGATAGAATTAAATTTTTGGAGGATATCAAAGATTTCTACGATACTTTCGACGGTCTCAATTCTTGGCTTGGTGCGAAAGAAAGAATGCTGGGTGCGTTAGGTCCGATATCGTCAGATCCAAGAATGGTCTCTAGTCAAGTCCAACAAGTTCAAGTACTCAGAGAAGAATTCAGAACCCAGCAACCGCAATTGGATCATTTGGTTCAAGTTGGTGAAAATGTTCTTGCCAGAATATCTGCCGATTCGCCGGACGGTCAAAAGATTAGTACCAAGTTGCATAGTATTTTACAAAGATGGGCAGATCAACTCAGTCGATTGGACGAACGTGGACAGAGTTTGGGTGATGCAGTTGGTACCAGTCGTGAATTCGACGCTAGTCTTAATCGTTTACGTGATGCTCTTCAAACGATTTCAGACAATTTGGACGATTTACCTCTCGATAAAGATCCTGAGGAACAGTTACGTAAGATCGAAAATTTGGAGAGACAATTGGAAGGACAGAGACCGTTGTTAGCTGATGCCGAAGCAGCTGGTGGACAATTATGCGAGGTATTAAGTGATCCAGCTTCGAAATCCGAGATCCATGGTAAACTTACAGCTGTTGGAAAATTATATGTCAACTTGCAAAAGAAATTAGATCATAGAAAAGCTGAAATCGAAGGTAATCTTAGAGATGGTCGACAATTTGAAGCTTCCTGTAGCAAAACTCTTGGTTGGCTTGCCGATGAACTTGGAAATATGTCTGAAAAATTATTGGTTTCGGCTGATCGAGAAATATTGCAACAACAATTGGATCATCACGAGCCAGTATATCGTAATGTAATGGGTAAAGAACATGAGGTCATTATGTTGCTAAACAAGGGACGTGATATTATTGCACGTTCGCAAAAATCTGAAAATCGTTCTCTTCAACGAGATCTTGATAAAATGCAATCTCAATGGGATCGTTTGAAAAAGGATACACTCGATAGACACACCAAACTTCAAACTTGCGCAGAACATTGTAAAAAGTATTATAGAGCACAGGATCAATTTTTACCATGGTTGAGACAGGCTGAAGATAAGTTAGAAAGCTTAAAGCCAGCATCCTTCAAACGCAAGGATATTGAAAAACAATTGAAAGAATTGTCATCGTTCAGAAACGAAGTATGGAAACGTTCTGGTGAATTTGAAAATAACAAAACTCTTGGGGAATCCTTCCTTGGTGCTTGTGATATCGATAAAGAAATAGTTAAAAATGAATTGAATGCCATGAAAACAAGATGGGACAAATTGAATAATGGTATATATAATTGAAATCTTAAATTAAATTGGGTATTAATCATACACACACACACACACACAGGATATAATATTTATGTTTATATATTTTTAGATCTTTTAGAAAGAACACAGTCTTTGGAAGATACCGCACGTCATCTTACGGACTTCGTAGAAAATCTTCGTGATTTGAAACATGATTTACAACGTTGCGAAGACAAACTAGCTTCTCATGATGCTCTTGGTGGAGCATCTAAAGATCCAAAGCTTCTCGATAGAATTAAGGTAATATAATCGAGTATTATTAAAGGAAAAAAAGAAAATGTATATTTTATATTTACAATGAATTGATTTAAATTTATAATTTTCTTTTTTTTCTTTTTCATAGAATTTACGAGAAGAAACAGCTAGCTTGAAGAAACCTTTGCAAGCAGTACGCAAACAGGCCAATGATTTAGTAAAGAAAGCTGATGAACAAGGAATAGATGCAACACATTTGCAAGATGAAGTTGACAATGTAACAGATCGAATCGATGACTTGCAAGCGAAATTAGACGATAGGTGTAACGAATTACAGAGTGCGGCTACTGCAATGGCACAATTTAATGATCATGTCAAGATCATTAATCAACATTTAGCTTCTATAGAAAAGGAATTAGATTCGATGAAAGCACCCGGACGAGAAATTAAAATTGTTAGAGGACAGATCGAAGATATCAGCAAAATCATTCATAAAGTTAATAAACTCTGCGATGATGCTAATGATCTTGAAAATCTTGGTGAACGTTTGGTCGACAGTGGCTTCGCTGCTGATTCTGTAGCAACCAGGCAACAAATTGAAAGTCTTAAACGACAAATTGGAAAGCTCGAGGAACGTGCACGTAACAGGGAAGAAGAATTAAGTACTGCATTGAATAAATTGCAAGAATTTTATCAAGCTCATGGAAACGTTATAGATGAAATAGCTGAAACTAATGATCAAGTTAGAAAATTCAAGCCAGTTGGTTCGGAAGTTGATTCGATCAAAGCACAGCAAGAAGATTTCATGGCACTTAAGATCAATAAAATTGAACCCATTTCTCGCAACGTTGATTTATGCAATGTTCTTGGTCAGGGACTTATTCAAACTGCAGGTCGTGATGTTAGCACCACGAACATTGAAAAGGATCTTGATAAAATGAATGATAGATGGAATGATCTAAAGGATAAAGTAAGTATTATTTTTTACTACAAAATAAACTTTGCGCACAATTTTGTTACATTATTAAATTTTTTTTTGTTATTATTACTTTTAGTTGAACGAGCGTGACAGAAAATTAGATGTAGGTTTACTCCAATCTGGTAAATTCCAAGAAGCTTTAAATGGCCTCGAAAAGTGGTTAACCGATACCGAAGAAATGGTTTCTAATCAAAAACCACCGTCGTCTGATTATAAGGTGGTCAAGGCACAACTTCAAGAACAGAAATTCTTGAAGAAGATGTTAATGGATCGACAAAATTCAATGTCATCTTTATACAATATGGGTCAAGAAGTAACAGCTGGTGCAGATACGAAGGAACGCAAAGTTATCGAGAAACAAATGAAGAATTTGATGGGTCGATTTGATAATTTAACAGAAGGTGCTGCAGAAAGAATGGATGCTTTAGAACAGGCGATGGCCGTGGCTAAACAATTCCAAGACAAATTAATACCACTTGCTACGTGGCTGGACAAAACAGAAAAGAAAGTTAGAGAAATGGAATTGGTACCAACCGATGAGGAGAAAATCCAGCAACGTATTTCCGAACATGCTGTACTTCATAGTGACATACTCTCGAAAAAACCAGACTTCAGCGAATTAACCGACATAGCTAGTCAACTGATGGCTCTTGTAGGTGAAGATGAGGCAGCTGCCTTGGCGGATAAACTTCAAGATGTTGCTGACAGATACGCTGCACTTGTTGAACGTTCAGAAGCACTTGGTGAACTTCTGCAACGTTCGAGACAAGGCTTACGACACTTGGTTCTTACCTATCAAGACTTACAGGCTTGGATGGAAGGCATGGAAGTTAGGCTTTCAAAATATAGAGTATTGGCTGTTCATACGGAAAAACTTTTACAACAAATGGAAGATCTGGCAGATCTAACAGAAGAAGTGTCTACAAGACAGACAGAAGTAGATAGTACAACAGATTCAGGCCTGGAATTGATGAAACATATTTCTAGCGACGAAGCTCTCCGACTAAAAGACAAATTAGATTCATTGCAACGTCGTTTCAATGACTTGGTTACACGTGGATCAGATCTTCTGAAACACGCACAGGAAGCTTTACCATTGGTCCAACAATTCCATGACAATCACAATCGTCTCATGGATTGGATGCAAGGAGCAGAATCAGCTTTACAATCTGCTGAAACTCGTGAGGATGAAATTATAAGACTCGAAATGGAAATTTCAGAATACAGACCTATTCTCGATAAAATCAATGCGGTCGGTCCACAATTGTGTCAGATATCTCCGGGAGAAGGTGCTGCTACCATAGAAGGCTTGGTAACCAGAGACAACAGAAGATTCGATGCAATTGCTGAACAAATTCAGAGGAAAGCTGAAAGAATTCAATTGAGCAAGCAACGATCTCTGGAAGTTATCGGGGATATCGATGATCTCCTCGATTGGTTCAGAGAAGTTGATAATCAATTACGTGAAGCTGAGCCACCGAGTAGCGAGCCCGAGATAATAAGAGTTCAACTGAAAGAACACAAGGCTTTGAACGATGATATATCCAGTCAGAAAGGCCGTGTTCGTGATGTCATTTCAACAGCTAAGAAAGTTATTCGTGAAAATGCACATCACGAAGATACATCAACGATACGAGATAAAATGGAAGACCTTCGAGAAACAATGGAAATTGTATCAGGTCTTTCCTCTGACAGATTGGGTGCTTTGGAACAAGCTTTACCATTGGCTGAACATCTTCGTGATACTCATGCAGGTCTTGTGAGTTGGTTGGAAGAAGCTGAACAACAAGTTGCTATGTTACCTATGCCTGCTTTGAGACCAGATTTGATAGCAGTTCAGCAAGATAAAAATGAAATTCTTATTCAGAGCATTAACGAGCACAAACCTTTGGTAGAAAAGCTTAACAAGACTGGTGAAGCTTTGATCAAACTATGTAACGAGGAAGAAGGTTCGAAAGTTCAAGATATTGTGGACAATGATAACGCTCGTTATGCGGCTCTAAGATCAGAGCTAAGAGGTCGTCAACAAACGTTGGAACAAGCATTGCAAGAATCTTCACAGTTCTCTGACAAATTGGAAGGTATGTTACGAGCATTAACATCAACTGCTGATCAGGTACATGGTGCTGAACCGGTAAGTGCACATCCACCAAGACTACGAGATCAAATGGAAGAAAATGCTGCATTGGCTGAAGATTTAGCTCAAAGATCAGAAGCTTATGCCGCTGTAAGGAAAGCTGCTGATGATGTTATCAGTAAAGCAGGGAATAGAGCTGATCCTGCTGTTAAAGATATCAAACGTAAACTTGATAAACTGAATCAATTATGGACGGATGTACAAAGAGCAACTACAGAACGTGGTCACACCTTGGACGACACCTTGTCGATCGCAGAGAAATTCTGGTCAGAATTGAATGGGGTAATGTCAACTTTGAGAGAATTGCAAGATGCTCTAGCTGGACAAGCACCGCCAGCGGCTCAACCAGCTGCTATACAACAGCAACAAGTAGCTTTACAAGAAATCAGACAGGAAATCGATCAAACCAAACCTGACGTAGAACAAGTAAGAGCATCTGGTCACGAATTGATGGGTCTGTGTGGTGAACCAGACAAACCAGAAGTACGAAAGCACATCGAAGATTTGGATCAAGCCTGGGACAACGTCACTGCCCTTTACGCTAGACGTGAAGAAAATCTTATCGACGCCATGGAGAAGGCCATGGAATTCCATGAAACCCTTCAAAATCTTTTGGAATTCTTACAGGAAGCTGAAGATAGATTTGCTGACATGGGTCCCCTTGGTAGTGACATAGACGAAGTTAAAACTCAGATCAAACAGTTGTCAAACTTTAAAGCTGAAGTTGATCCACACATGGTGAAGGTCGAAGCATTGAACAGGTAAGATTTTATATTCGTTGAATTTTCATTCTACTTTTCTTTCTTTCTTTTTGAACAATTTTATAACATTGCATTTACAAAGAGTTCAGTGCATCGCATTGTCCCCTTTGTGAGATTTTCTATTTGGAAGAATATTGAGAGAGAACCAACCACTTCGATATAACTTTAATCTAATCCCAACATTTTTGTTTTTTCCGTGCCGGTTCCCGAACATAGGAGTCTGACAAGGCAAGTCAACCTCTCTCTCTCTCACTCTCTCTGTGTTGTTACTGTAGTTAGAGCATGGCTTAACATTCTTTATAATGTGACACCTCATTTTGATCGAATAACAGATGATCTTAACCCATTGTTTGTCTTTGTATGACAAAGTAACGCGTTGAGTTTGATTATCCCAAAGTATTCACTTGATTACCGTCCTTCGTATAGCCGCATGCAAGAGGTGTGAAGCATAAAATAAAAAAGCAAATCCCCAAAAAATAAAACAAAATAAACCACGAGGAAAAGTAATAAAAGCGTAAATCGATAGAGTACTGATTTTTAGTGTCTCGTTTGTGTCCATTAATCTTTCCAGTAGTATTTTTTTTTTTTTTTTTTTTTTTTTTTTTTTTTTTTTTTTTTTTTTTCGTTTTTTTACTGACAGGATATTCTCATCCCCGCCCTCCGTCCTTGTAGGTGTAGCCTTGAAAGTTTGTCTGGCTAAAATCCACAGTATCATTTTACCGATATACAAATGACACATCTAACTCTAATCTTTCATCCGATTTAGACAAGCAGCTGAGCTGACAGAAAGAACATCGTCCGAACAAGCAGCAGCTATTAAAGAACCATTGGGCGCTGTTAACAAACGTTGGGACGGATTGCTTAGAGGTGTTGTAGAGAGACAAAGACTTTTAGAGAATGCTTTGTTACGATTAGGACAATTCCAACATGCTCTTGATGAGTTGCTCGTTTGGATCGATAAGACGGATAGAACGTTGGACAATTTGAAAGCAGTTGCAGGAGATCCGCAAGTTATCGAGGTCGAATTAGCTAAACTGAAAGTCTTAGTTAACGATATCCAAGCGCATCAAACTAGTGTGGACACATTGAACGATGCTGGCAGACAATTGATCGAAGATGGAAAAGGTACAACCGAGGCTTCAACAACGGCAGAAAAATTAGGTACACTAAATCGCCGTTGGAGAGATCTGCTTCAACGAGCGGCTGATCGGCAAAGAGAATTGGAAGATGCTTTGAGAGAGGCACAATCGTTTACTGCTGAAATACAAGATCTTTTGTCGTGGTTAGGCGATGTTGATAATATGATAGTAGCATCGAAACCGGTCGGTGGTTTGCCTGAAACAGCGTCGGAACAATTGGAACGATTTATGGAAATTTACAACGAATTGGAACAAAATCGGCCAAAGGTAGAAACTGTCTTACAACAAGGACAGGAATATATGAAACGTGCCGATGCAAGTAGTGCTGGTGGTTTGAATCATAATCTTCGAACCTTGAAACAGAGATGGGACAATGTCACTGCACGAGCGAGTGATAAGAAAATCAAATTGGAAATTGCTTTGAAGGAAGCAACAGAATTTCATGATGCTTTGCAAGCGTTTGTTGATTGGCTTACGAATGCAGAAAAGATCCTAACGAATCTCAAACCAGTTTCCAGAGTCATGGAGACTATATTAGGTCAAATAGAAGAGCATAAACAATTTCAGAAGGATGTTGGTGTTCATAGAGAAACTATGTTAAATTTGGATAAGAAGGGAACGCATTTGAAATACTTCTCACAAAAACAGGATGTGATACTTATTAAAAATCTATTGATCAGTGTTCAACATAGATGGGAACGTGTTGTGTCAAAGTCAGCCGAGAGAACTAGAGCGCTCGATCATGGATATAAAGAGGCAAGAGAGTTTCACGATGCATGGTCGAATTTACTCAATTGGTTGGACGAAACTGAGAAGACCTTGGACGAAGTTGCTGCTGATGGTCTTGGTGGAAATGATCCAGAAAAGATCAAATCGCGTCTTAACAAGCATCGCGAGATACAGAAAGCTTTGAGCGCTAAGCAAGGTACGTATGATACGACCATGAAGAATGGTAAAACTTTGAAGGACAAGGCACCGAAGGCCGACGAGTCTGCTTTGAAGGAATTGTTGAACGAATTGAAGAACAAATGGACGACAGTTTGTTCAAAGTGCGTTGATAGACAAAGAAAGTTGGAGGAAGCGTTATTGTTCTCTGGACAATTCAAGGATGCCATTCAAGCGCTTCTCGATTGGCTTGGCAAGATGGAAAAACATTTATCGGACACTGGACCATTGCATGGTGATTTGGACACCGTAACGAATCTGGTCGAACAACATAAAACTTTCGAAAAAGATTTAGAATCACGCGAATCACAAATGGAATCGGTCATCAAAACTGGTCGTGAATTAGAATCCAAAGCTTCGGCAGAAGACGCTTCCCTGATAAGATCTCAATTATCAGAACTTAACAGTTTATGGGACACCGTAACACATCTGTCATCAAAGAAAACCGCAAAATTAGAGGAAGCTATCAGAGAAGCCGAACGTCTTCACAAGGCGGTCCATGTTTTGTTAGAATGGTTGAGTGACGCCGAAATGAAACTTAGATTCGCTGGGCAATTACCAGAGGATGAACAAGAGAGTAGAAACCAATTGATGGAACATGAGAAATTCCTTCGTGAATTGAAAGCTAAAGAAATTGAAAAGGATAATACTTTGGAATTGGCTCATATTATCTTAGGTAAAGCTCATCCTGATGGAGCTGCTGTTATCAAACATTGGATAACCATTATTCAATCTAGATGGGAAGAAGTTGCTATTTGGGCTCAACAAAGAAATCAAAGACTTGAAAATCATATGCGTGGACTTCAAGTAAGACATCATTATATAAAATAAAATAATATGATTAATTTGATTAATATGTTATGATTGAACAAAATTAATATTAATTAATTATCATTCGCATTTGTATTTTTAGGATCTTGATAATCTCCTAGAGGAATTATTGGCTTGGTTAGAAGGATTAGAAAATACTTTGAATGCCCTCGAAAGTGAACCACTTCCAGACGATCGTCCTACTCTCGAAATGCTTATTGCTGATCACAGAGAATTTATGGAAAATGCAAGTAGAAGACAGAACGAAGTAGATCGTGTCTGTAAAGCAAGACAGATCAAAGTAACGAAGGACGGACGAAAAGTGCCAAAAGCTAAATCACCTGCACCAGTGTAAGTATAATTAAATATAATCCTTGAATCTCATAAAACTGTCTGAACGCCGGTGCCATCAAAATTTCTTAATCATTCTAAGTCGGTTTTTTATTATGAAAAAAAAAAATAAATAAATAAAAAAGAAAGGGAGAACATTAAACGTGCACATAAAATCATTACCTTGAAATAATGATCATTACTTTTATCGATCAATCATTTTCAATTGTCTCATATTAAAATATAAATTTTATGAATTATTTTTTTAGATAGCATAAATTAATTTGATATATCATGCTTTCTATGTATTTTAACAATAGCAAAAAAAGTTTTCTTTTTTTATACTTTAGCACATATATATATATTGCACGTTTTTTTATTTTGCATTTGTGTGCAATTTTTTTTTTTATGTTTTTTTGCTTGTATCATTTGTAATGTGTGTACGTTTTTGCATGTTATATTAATATTATGGACAGCAGTAAGGATCAATATCAAGATGTGGAACAAGAACAACCTCCTTCCAGAAAACAAAGGTGCGTTTTTTAAATTCAAGGGATCGACGAGCATTTTTATTAATTTTTATGATAAAATCGCATGGAACATACATAGTGACGCCATCTGAAGCATATTCCTTGAAACAACTCATATTTTTCATTATATCGATAAAAATATTAATTTGGTCGATAAATGGATAATCATAGTTTGAAAAGTTTCTAGGAATATTCTTCAGATGGCGTTTCAAGTCAAAGACGAAAAGATAATTTTTATTTTTAATAATAATTGCTTTATTATATTTTTTTTTCTCTTTTTTAAGCTTTTTAAAAATTCATATATTTCAATATTAATTGTTTTAATTACGTTTATATTATTGCATTATTGTCTGATTAGCTAGCTCGTTAATTATAAAAAAGAAAAATGTTGTATTTATTTTTTTTTTTATGTTTGTCTCGCATGTTTGTAATTGAATGTTGTCTGTCGCACATTAACACATAAAGACATTAACAAACACTTTCCTTTTCACAAAATTCAATGTTAACCCTTAAAGCCGGAAGAAAATGCAACGCACAAAAATGATTTCGGTGTATCATCGTGTGAAACTGCATAAATTAAGATGAATGAAGATTTTGAAAAAAAGAAAACAAGAAAAAAAGAAAAGAAAAGGCTACAGTTTTCTTTACTACTAACATATACTACGCATCCTTGTCAAGTAATATTATTAACGAATTAACTAACAATAAGTATCATTAATCTTTCATTATTTCTCTCGAATAATTTTACAAATCAACGATAGGGAATATTTATTAGATATCATTTCATAAGTTATAATAGAACGTGTCTTTGAAGATGCGTCTGTTATATACGTGATTAATTTTTTTTTTTCTTTCAACAAATTTTTTCAACTCATACATGCACACATACATACTTACATACACATATTGAAACTCTCATACATTCATATAATCGTACATAATGTGTAATCATTAAAAGACATACTTTGAAACACGTACTTTGATGAAGCCTGCTTTGTGACGCAGACAAATCAATCCTACATGTAAGGTCCAGTAGAGAGTGTTTTGAGTGACGTGAGGCATGTTCTTGTTTAGCCGAGCCAGCCCGGGTCGCGAGAGGACGCCAGATCTTTCATTGCCACACATTGGTCCACGCTTCCCACCAAAAGGAAGGTGCGTTTTGTCATTATTTTCGACAGATTTCAATTATCCTAAGTATAATATTATCCATTCTCTCCTCCATCTTTTTATTAATTTTCACACTGTTTACCCTTATCATTTTATTGTTATTCTTATATTTTTGTTAATATTAATGTCCATAACTTTTTTGTTGTTACGTTACACGCGTGTATTGTGAGAGCTATGCTATATTTAATTATTAAGGGATTGAGAAGGAAAAAAAAGAAAATTCAAACTTTTTTTTATACACACACACACACATATATATATATATATATATATATATATATATATATATAAAACATTTTAATGATATTTTTAATAACTCGTTTGAATCTTTTTCTTATTTTTTTCTTTTTTTAATTTTTTTTCTTTCTTTTTTTTCCCCTTTTTTTTTTATACAAGCAGTAAAGGCGCAGAACCAGAATTCCGTAGTCCAAGGGTGAAACTCCTGTGGGACAGGTGGCGTCACGTTTGGATGTTAGCTTGGGAACGTCAACGTCGTCTACAGGACAAATATAATTATATTCAGGAGTTGGATCGTGTTGCTAACTTTAGCTGGGAAGACTGGCGCAAGAGAGTAAGAAGATATTTTTTTTCTTTCTTTTTTCTAATATTCGTTCATTGACAAATCACGTTAGAAATATTTTAATACATTTCTTTTTTCTTTCTGTTTCTTTCTTTCTTTCTTTTCTTTTTTCTTTTCTTTTTTCTTTTTTTTTTATATATTTTTTTTCTTTTTCTTTTTCAGTTCCTAAAGTTTATGAATCATAAGAAATCTCGACTGACGGATCTCTTTAGGAAAATGGATAAGAATAACGATGGGCTTATACCTCGTGAAGATTTCATTCAAGGAATTATGAATACCAGTTAGTATATTTTTTTTTTTTTTTTTTTTTATTGAAATACTTGAATGAAAATATACTAGACCGTCTGTTGCTCTAATTTTTGTAGAATTTGAAACGTCTCGATTGGAGATGGGTGCGGTTGCAGATCTATTTGATCGTCACGGAGAAGGTTTGATAGATTGGAAAGAGTTTATTGCCGCTTTGAGACCAGATTGGGAAGAACGTCGTACTTATAATGATACTGATAAGATACATGACGAAGTTAAACGATTAGTTATGTTGTGTACGTGCCGGCAAAAGTTCAGAGTGTTCCAAGTTGGTGAAGGAAAGTACAGGGTAGGTGTCGTTTAAAAAAAAAAAAAAAAGAGAAATGAAAAAAATAATAAAAATTAATAATTTGTTCATTCAAATTAATTCTAATTTTTTTTTCTTTTTTTTTTTGTTCTTCTTTTTTTGTTTGGAGAAATTTTACATAATTTTCATATATAATATTTATTTAATTTTTTATTTATTAATATTTATATAATAATTATATTTATATGTATACGTATATATATATATATATGTATATATGTATTTACAGTTTGGTGACAGTCAAAAACTACGTCTAGTCAGGATATTAAGATCTACAGTGATGGTTCGAGTAGGAGGTGGTTGGGTAGCATTAGACGAATTCCTTTTGAAAAATGATCCATGTCGCGGTAAGTACTCACTTTTATTATTGATCAATTTAAAATTAAATGACGTAAGAAATTCGGGTTACGGTAAGTTATATATATATATATTAAAAAGAAGAAAAAAGAAAAGAGAAAAATCTTACCTTGGCCCGAAATCAAAAAGTATGATAATCTGTGAAGTCAGGTAGATAAAAGAAAATAAAAAAAAAAAAATTCCGGGAGAAAAATTCACAATCGAATTTAATAAAAAAAAAAAAAAAAAAAAAAAAAATAAAAAAAACAGTTCTACATAACATATGTATATATCATAAAAAGTATGTATTTCTGCTAATCGTAATAGAAACGTGATATAATAACACGCGTGATGATTTTCCGCATAAAAATAATTATATAGTTTAACGCAAACCATTCCAATTCTCTCACAAACGTTCCTCATCCCTCCTCTCTGATCATCCATCCGAGGCAGCTAACGTGTCTTTAGTTTGATTTTTTTTTTTTCTTTGTGATATCATCATTAATAATGTCTTGATATCTTTGAATAATAATTTGTGTATATAGTTTGTTAATGCCGATTCTAATTTCTAATTTTCTAATTTCGCTTATTTTTATTATGTTCGATATTAATAATAATAATAATAATAATAATAATAATAATAATAATAGTATTAATAATAATAATAATAATAATAATAATAATAATAATAATAATAATAATAATAATAATAATAATCTTGCATAAAATTTTATTTTTTCGATTCACAATCAAAGTTTTCATTGCATCTTCTATTTCATCGATAGTTGCATTGAGAAAAAAAAAAAGAAAGAATACTTTTTATTAACAAATTATTATTATCCATTAACATTATAACCGCCAAAAAAAAAAACAAAAATAAGAAAAAGAAAAAAGAAAACTTTTTTCTCGCGAGACCAATACCACAAAACTGCTACCCCGAACCTCTGAAAATTTTATAATCATAATTGCGTTTGTGTGTATGATCTCAACTCCTGAGGTACGAAAACGTTGTGATTAATCGCATATTATTAATCGTTAATATTCTAAATTTTCAATAATACAATGCAAGAGGGACGAGTGAAAGAAAAGTGTGTGTCCGCTGATTTTTTTCCTTTGCTTAGCTGGTTGCTGAATTAATAAAAAAAAATACACGTATGAATATATATATATATCTCAAAAGGTATTACGCGGGTTTCGGGTTTTCTTTGGGGCTTTCGATTATGTGTTGCAACTAATACAAAAGATCGCTATTTCAGAAAATGATTTAAACTTATTTAAACTATTTAAGATTATCATTCTAAAGCATCATCAATCTTGTCATTGTTATTCATTAATTTTCATTAGAAATTGTTAAAAAATAAAGAAAAGTTTCTTATTAATTTTCTGAAATAGTAGGATCTCTTAAGGACCGTAGATAAAAAAGGTATATAAGTAGATAAATCATATATTGGTTCCCATACTAACGTAAATTTAATAATCCCTATCCTCCTTTTCTTTCCTATTCCATCTTTCTCTCTCCCTCTCTCTTTCTCTCTCTCTCTCTTCTCTCTCTCTCTCTCTCTCTCTTTCTCTTTCTTTCTTTCTCTAACACATTCCAAATATCCAAATCGCTGCAATTCTTCGTATCTCTCCTCTTCTTTCTTTATATATATATATTATTTTTTAATATATATAATATATATATATATTTATATATTTATATATTTATATATATATATATACACACACATATATATATAATTTTCATTCCCTCTTTTCTATATACCATTCCCAAATGATTTTGTATTTTTAATTGTAACCGAACCACTGATATGTGTTGCATGGTACTTTCTCGTTCCGAAATTGATTGAAAAACGAAATTATTTTTAATTATCGTTAATGCATTAAGTTTTTCTAATGCCAATACCGGATCCTAACAAACCGGAACAACATGAGGGCTGGTGTCCGCTCGGTGAGGACTTTTTTACATGCACACAGTACATTCATGGTCTATGTAGGTGTGATGATAGTTATTCCTTTAGACATAGTACCGATAAATATACATTTATTTTTTAGACTATTGTAAATTTTTTATAATACATAGCTTTTTTTTATATAAAAGATACATGTATATATAATACATTTTTTTTCTTTTTCTTTCTCTCTCTCTCTCTCTCTCTCTATATATATATATATATATATTAAACATACACCGCGAATTATAGACCATGAAATTAACTTCCCCGTGTATTGTGCATGATAGAACTGTTACGTGTGATTTTTTTTCTATCGTATTGTTTATTATATATAATAATATCAAGCCCCGTTAATTTTGTGCCGTTGTGTTAAATATAACATGTAACCTGATCGAGTTAGATCGAAAGATCAATCGCTAGTGCGTATAACTATATTTAGATAAGGCATTTTTTGAATTTTCATATAAATTTGTAATTTTTCAAATGAATTAATTTATTTCGATGGTAAAGTCGCATGAAAAAAAAAGAAAATATATTCGTGGTGCCATCTGAAGAATCTTCCTAGAAACTGCTAGCCAGATGGTATTGCAGATCAATTTTGACGATAAAAAGGGCTGTTTTTGCTAGCAGTTTCTAGGAATATTCTTTAGATGGCGCCACGAATATCTTTTTAATGCGATTTTACCATCGAAGATACATAAAACAGAAATTTAATGCAATCTTTAGGATTTGTTTGAAGAGAAAAATTTTTTTAATTCATGAATTAAATAACAACCAGCCTAGCATTGAAATATCTCGACTGGTATGGTTTTTTTGAAATTTTTGCAACAAAGCATACTATTTAAATTTGTTGGCATGGTGTTTTTCGAATTGTTGATTAAGTCTTCTTGAGATGATTCATTTTGTTTTTGTTTTCAAATTTTTATTTACTTATTGTGTTATTTATTTCTTTATTTTTATTTTATTTTTTTTCTTTTTTTTTTTTTTTTGTTACTTTTGTACATAACATATACATATATAGTAGCGATTGATTGTTTTGCTATGTAAAACTAACGTTAAATATGCGGATATAATATCACATTGGTTATTCGTAAGAGATAGCAAGGAGGAAAAAGAGGAGACGCCGAGATGTTGTTACGATAGATATCACGGATGGAGCATGGTGGGAGAAAAGTAAATTAAGAAAGGCATATTTTTTTTCATTCGTTTCATGCTACAACAAATGTCCTTTTCTTTTTAATTTTTTAATCTGTTCAATATCAAGCAGTATTTATTATTTCACATTATTTGCTATATATATATATAGTTACATTTAAATATAAATGAAATTGAGTTAGCATGAAACGATTTTCATATATATATATATATCGTGGCTTTTGTCAGTGGAAAAAAAAAATATCATTGCGCTTTAGATTCGATTCGAATCGGCTTTGTAAAAATTGTCGTGTCAATATCGCCTTAATATGTCCCGTATGCGGGACAAAATATTTTATTTTTTTCTCTCTTCTTTTTTTTTTATGAATAATATGTGCATCATATTTTTTTTTCTTTTTTTTTTTCTTTTTTTTTTTCTTTTTTATTTTTCTTTTTCAAACGTTCTAAATATAGTGTTTTTTTTTTCTTTCTTTTTCATATTACTTACACACACGAACACACGTACACGCAACCATCATACACCGTACACGCACATTTTCACTCTATTTTTTCTTTTCTCTCTCTCTCTCTCTCTCTCTCTCACTCTCTCTCTCTCTCTCTCTCTCTTTCTATCTCTCTCTCTCTCTCTCTCTATTTCTCTTTCTCTCTATATATATTTATTTATCTTGTCATTTCCATTTCTTCGTTATATTTTTCTTTATACAATTTATCTTTTTGTCATTATTCTTCCGCATCCATTGATAATTCGCATGATCTTTCAATTTTGTATCAATATCTTTGTCTGATGATCGATTGTCTCTCTCTCTCTGTTTCTTTAAAAAAAATACTCCCTTTTTGTAAAAAAAAAAAAAAAAAAAAAAAAAAAACTACTCCTGTATTCCGAATGTTAAATGATTTCAAAAACTTTCACTGTCTCTCTATCTCTCTCTCTATCTCTCTATCTATCTATCTATCTATCTATCTATCTATCTATCTATCTATTTCTTTTTCTCTGTAAAAAAAAATCTTTGGCACCTCCTCTCATAACCCGGCATTATCCCATAACGCCTTCCTTCTAACTGCGTGCACGCAATACACTGTAGCCAAGGGAAGAACCAATATCGAGCTGAGGGAGCAATTCATATTGGCGGATGGTGTCAGCCAGACAATGACAGCATTCAGGTCGAAGCCAAGCCCAACGTCGACCCTTCAACGTACGCAAATGTCCTCAGCTGGACCCATCACCAAGGTAATGTCATCTAGTATGGTGAGCACAGTCAGATGGAAAAAAAGAAAAAAGGAAAAAAAGAAAAATTAAAAAAAAAAAAAACTCTCATCATAATATCAAACGAAAGAAAAAAAAAAAGAAAAAAAAAGAAGTTAACTCTAGACTCTTTCTATCAAACTTTCTACTCGAGGATCACATCGTCAACCGATTCTTTTCGGTCCTTTTTTTCTTTTTCTTTTTTGTTTATTTATTTGTTCGGTTTTTTATTTCTTTTTTTTTCTCTTTTATTTTCTTTTCATTTTCTTTTCATCTATATACTTTTATTATATTTATATTTTTGAACCGAAATGATCTGTTGAGATCCTTGCTTCGACACTTGCTCCACTTTCTTCACCGTTTGTTTTTATCATTTTTCCACGATCCTTAAAACGAACTTATTACATGCATACATACATATATACATACATATATTACATACATACACACATACATATATATATATATATATGTATATATGTACGTGGGATCATTATAATGGTTAGTTCGTTCTTCGGATCCAAAAAAAAGTTCATTCATTCATCGCTTCATTCATATTCACACATATACGTACATATTTTTGTGTATTAGTGTATTATATGGGAGAGATCGTATAATAATTCATGCATGATCAATTCTTGGATACCATGGATACTTTAATCATCTTATCGGTGAGTACTCTCGATGATCGATTCGATGAACTCGTGAAAAATGGCGATAATAATTGTTTAGGTATAATTTTTTATTTTGCATGAGCATGCGAAGGTTGACGAAAGGATAGCTGGTAGTATTCGCTGATAGAAATAGACGCTTTTATCATTCTCTATTTGATAAGATTTTAAAGAGGCATTGGTTCGCCTTGTGTGATAGTCATCGTGACGGCTTTGGTAAGCAATTTTTTCAATAGGCGAAGGCGAAAGCAAATTAAAAATAAAAAATATATATATATAAAACAAAGGGAAGGGGAAAGATGAAAACAAAAGAAAAAAAAACTATTAAATTTATTTTCATCTAGTCGACGCATCAGCACCTCAGGAGATGTGATTTCAAGAAACAAAATTTTTATAGAAAACAAAAAAAAAAGAAATTTTTCAAATGATCAATTAAAATTAATTTCGATGATATAATTGCATGGAAAAATATATCTGACGCCATCTGAAGATAATTCCTGGAAACTTATCGCCCGGTGATATGGCAGATCAATTTTGTTGATAAAAAATGAGTTACAGCGAGTAGTTTCCAGGAATATTCTTCAGGTGGCGCCACGGATACTTTTTTGTGCTGTTTTACCATCACGAGTGAGAAAAATAGAGTCTCAGAAAAAAACAAACCTGTCTCCTCTGAAAAAGAACAAAAAGTAAAGTGTCAATGACCTTATTGGCAATTATGGAAATTTAGAAATATAGGAAACTCTTCTTTTTCATACGATTCTTTTTTTCTTTTTTCTCTTCTTTTTTCTTTTTTCTTTTTTTTTTTCTTTCATTTTTTTAGAATTGATCAAATGATCTATCGATGAATTACTCTTTTACATATATACATATAACATAATAATTTATAATAAAAGTATAAAAATAAGCCCAAAGAAGAGTTTTCTTTTTCTGATCAATTCGAATCATACGAGAAACGACAGCTGCCTCGTCGAAAACTTGAACGGGGTTGAGAAGAGAGAAACAAAAAATGAATTTTCAGCATGAGAAAATGAGAAATTAGGTGGTATCATCGCTAAATTTTTCGTTTATGGGTGTAGCGGAGGAGTTTATGAGCCAGCTGATGCCGATATTTGAGAGTTTGAGGCAAAAGGAGGATCTTCCGTGCTCGTATCCCCTTCACATGCACGCCCCCTCTTATCACTGGGTAAATAACAAACAAGTTCTCTATTGTTTCTGCTGTCGTTTTAATATGAGATGATTTATATATTTCCCTTTCTCTCTCTCTCTCTCTCTCTCTCTCTCTCTCTCTCTCTCTCTCTCTCTCTCTCTCTCTCTCTCTCTCTCTGTCTCTCTCTCTCCGTCTATCTATCTATCTCTATCTCTCTCTCTATCTCTCTCTATCTCTCTCTCTATCTCTCTCTCTTTCTCTCTATTTTTTTGTTATTATTATTATTTATTTTTTCTAATTCTATTTGTTTGTTCTTTGGGTGGACTTTAATTTAATATGAGTTGATTGATATTTGTGCGCTTGAAATCCATCTCACACTTAGAGTGCAAATGAAAAAAAAAAAAAACCTTTCCCTTTTAATTCTCGATGCCCTATCTCTCTTTTTCTTTGTCTCTCTCTGTCTCTCTCTCTCTCTCTTTCTCTCTTTCTCCCTCGTAATTAGATTAGAACAAAAATGTTCTTTTCTGTCGATTTTTCTTATCTGTTAGGATTGCGTCCAATTGAGAGTAAGGGCATTGAGTTTAATAATCGTTTAATAGCATGTTACCATTTTGAAAGCATCCTTTTTCACGCTAGACATGTTTTATATTCGCTGTTAATGAATTATTACATAAAAATTTGAGCGTGTATTGAGAGTGTGCTTTTACATATATAAATATATATATATATATATTTTTTTTTATTCTAATTAGTAAGTACTCTCTGTCTTCAAATTGAGATTTAGATGAGAATACCATTGATATTAGAGTAAAAGAAGTAGTCGTTAGACAATAGAAAATTTATTTTCTATAACCTTTGAAACAATAATTAGCCGAAAATGTACATTTTATATAATTTAAGTTTCGCCTGCGTTTTGTTTTCTTTCGCCCTTTTTTTCCCTTTTTTTTTGTTTTTTGTTTTAAAAGAAGTTATATATATGTTACTTTATGCTGTTGTTATTTTATATTCGTTCATTTTGATTAGTACGATTAGTTTGAGAAGCCTCGAATATTGTTCTACATAATATCCTCAAAGACCTATTTTCATTCGCGCGATATTCATATTTCCCTGCCCTTCTTCGATAACGCCTTCGACACGAACGAATTATAAATAAATTTCTTAACGATCTTTATTGAATTTTGTTTATATACATATATATGTATATATAGAAATATATAATTAATAATAATAATAATCGGTATAAAACTTTTCGGATATTTATCGGATACAATGTAATTCTATACGAGATATTAAAACGAAGGAAAATCTTTGTTTCGTTCATATATATATATTTTTCCTTTTTTTTTTTTTTTTTTTTTTTTTTCTTCTAATACACACACAACATACACATACACAGATACAGGATATTTTATATGGTAGTTCTTTTAAATACGAGTATATGCATAACGATATGTGTCATGTATTGATGCGTTGCATAGTGGCGTTGATCGGAGATACTTCGAATCATCATAAACTACTGTATCTCTCCCAACTTCTTTTGGTAAGTCTGCATGTAATTAGTAGTTAAACGAAAATGATAAGAGAAAACAAAATATAAATAAAAAAATAAATAAACAAAAGGCCACATCCATCTATCATCATCATATTCTTCATGTTCTTCTCCTTCCCTCTCTTTTCATTTCTTTTTATTTTTTTGATCTATTTTATTTTCATTCACGTAAGTTTTAAAGTGTCCCTTTTTTCTTTTTTTTTTTTTTTATTCTATATCTGAATCAAGTATGAACAAACCTTGTCATTTATTTATAATAATTTAATGAATAATAATTATAAAAAATGTATATATGTTTTTTATTTTTGGTAGATGTGTTGTTCATACTTGATTATTTCATGGACTCATCATTGAAACTTTATAACAATCATAGATTTTGATCGTAGTAGTATCTGAACAAATCCGATTAGTTAATTGCATATATAATTAATTATAAATTTTGAATTATCCTTAATAGATATGCTTTTCGCATTGGTAATTATAAACATTTCCATTCACAATCACGAATTTGCTTTGTCATTGTTTCCAAAAATTGTTTTCATTTCATTCATTCGAACACTATTTATCAAATTTTCATCGATCACTTTTAAATGAATGTGAGAATAAATGATCACACAATGACACTCTCGAAAATGTTCATAGCCATCGAAATCGTGCACATTTGTCGTCCAATGTCTTTTAATGGATTATTTTGAACGTTAATTAAAAGAAAATCATTTTCCCCCCCCCCCCTTTTTTTACGAATACAGGTGAGAGAACGAAGCGCACGAAGCGTACCAATGGGTCAATCAAGAGCATCCCGTTCATCCCTAAGTGCAGGTACACCAGATAGTTTGAGTGACAACGAAGGTTCATTCAGAATATCTGCTAGAAAAACTAGCACACCTTATAGAAGTAATCTCACACCAGGTAAATTATCTTTTCCATAATATTAAATCACATATTATCAAATTTGATCTATTTATTTAATCTTATCTTCCAATTAACAAGTTTTATCCTTAAATAAAATTAATTAAATATTTAGAAATTGTTTAAAATTAAAATGACATTATTTTTCTTATAGGTGGTAGCCGACCTTCGAGTAGACCAGCCTCAAGGCCAGCTTCAAGACCAACAAGTAGGCCAGGTAGTAGGCCAGCTTCAAGACAAGGAAGTAAACCACCAAGTCGTTATGGTTCCACACAATCATTAGATAGTACAGGTAAAATTATAATTAAAACATTAAGAGACAAAAATATATATATATATTTTTTAAATCTTTTTTTTATTTTTCTTCGCTCAAAAATTAATACATATTTATTTCATTTACATAGATTGATCTCTGTTAAATATAAATTTCGCATTAAATAATTATTTGATTAAGCAAAAAAAAAGATTGATTTAGAAAAAAAAATTATTAATTAAGATAATTATATATAAAATTTTTATCAAAGTATTTTTGACATTAAATTTCTTTTAATTGATAGATGAAGCAGGTACACCAAGTCGCATTCCTCGTAGAACCGCCGTAGGTACAACAGGCAACACACCAACGTCTAGCAGACATAATAGCATTTCTGGTAGGCGATTAGGTACACCTGTCAATGGAGCCAGTTCTAGACCACGTACACCAACTGGTCTGGTTAGTCCAGCTAGTGGTAGTGCAACGTCTAGGTTTGTATTCTTTTAATAAACTTTGCTTATTAATTAATATTCTCAGGGACACTAACTTAGAGTTTGCATTAAGCTCGTTCGTTAATTCGCATAGTAAGCAAGAGATTATAGCAATTATAACGAATTAACGACGTACGATTGTTCCCAATAATCTATTATTTTCTATTTTCTTTTTTTTTTCTTTTCTTTTCTTTTTTAATTTTATAATTTAGATTGCAATACATTTTAGTATGCTTTGCGTTTTGTATTAAATTTAAATTTAATTTTATATTTAGATCCACCACAACACGTGTTAATTACTATATTAATAATAATAATATTAATAATAATAATAATAATAATAATAATAATAATAATAATAATAATAATAATAATAATAATAATAATAATAATATCTCTGAAGGTAATTTGTCAAGCTCCAAAATAATAGTTAACCCTTCTCGTTAATAACATTTTTTTAGGTTTGGCTCAATCCATAGAGCTTCGAGCATACCAACCCTGACTGGTGTCGGAACACCGATCAGGTAAAGCATACATTAACCTGTTAGAAAATGATTAATGGAAGAGAACAATTGGCTTGGCTTTCATTGCTTTTGTAATAGTTGATTAGGAATATTTTAAATCTAATGGAGCTTTTAAATAATTGTCACGTTCAAACGTTGGTGGTGGAACAAATGCTTATTATTTATTTGTTTTCAGTTTAGTTGTTTAAGTTCTTTTCCTTCGTTCTTTCTATTTTTTTTTTTTTTTTTTCATTTAAAACATCTATTTTGTATATATATATATATACATATATCATAATGGAAGTATAAATAATCGTTGTCATTAACTAATAACTAATAAATTAATGGTATTGAGATATATCATAACAATCAAATATACTAATCCTAATTATTGTGAATGTCTATTAATCGTTGCCATCTAAATTTAACAATTCATGTTAACAAACTAATATTCGAATGGTGATGGTTTAGCCGCTCTAGGATACCTGTTTATGTGGGAATGGACATAAAATCCCCTCAATCAACAACCAGCAATATTTCAACTCATTCGACACAAAGCAACCATTCTACAATTTCTACTGATTCTACTGGGTATGATGAATGTTCTCTCTCTCTCTCTCTCTCTCTTTCTTTCTCTCTCTCTCTCTCTCTCTCTCTCTTTCTTTTTCTTTCTTTCTTTCTTTCTTTCTTTCTTTCTTTCTCTCCCTGCTCTGTATCCCTTCTATATCATAAAATATTAATCATTTCTTTTTTCTGCTTTACTGTGATCTATCCTTTGTTATATTTAACGGTGTGATTTTGGATCATTTTGTTTCATTTTGTTACAATCATAAATCCCAATCATAAGCATGTTGCATATTAAATGAATCTTTCTTTAAGTGTTAGACATGCTTGTCTATTGAAATTGCATAATGAAACGTATCGAACTGTGCGATAATAATAATATTCACACGCTAGTAGATAAAAACAACGGCAACAACAACTAACTATCTATCTATCTATTTTTCACAATGCCAGGAGCAGTTCCATCTGTACAAATTCAGCAACTAACATCCCATTGGCTGTTAAACACGCTAGGTAATAATGACTAATCCCTAATATAATTCAAAAATCATTTATTAAACCAGAGTTGTCGAACGAGACAAAAATTGTCGAGACGTAAATGGTCAATTGTAAAAAAATAATATCTTTTTCTTTTTTCTTTGTTCTTTCTCTATCATAGAACACGAACACCGTCCAGTGGTTCGAGCACACCACTACCACCGTCTCTGAAATTATCAAGAAAACCATCAGGAGCATCGGACACTTCAGTCTCAAATACTACGTCAAGTGGAACTCGTAAAGGGAAACCAACGCCTATCGATCAAAGAGCACCTTTCCGATTGTAATCTCGACAATTTCTTTTTTGCCTAACAATAATCGAATATTTATCGAGGAGCTTTTTATCTTATCCTACGTGTTTGCCTATCGAAGGAAAAAGAGAATAAAAAAAAAATAATAATAATAATTCTCTTGCTTTTCCATGCCAAATACACGTTAGTATAAATAATCTGAGTAATCGCGTAAGATCAATTGAAGGAAAAAAAAAGAAAATGAAAGAAATTATTAGAAATTAAAAAAAATAAAAAAAAATAAAAAAAAAATAATAAAATAAAGAAAGTTATATATCACGAAGGAATTATAGGATTACGAGAATGATAAAAGAGATTGAAAGAGAATGCTTGCAATTTATCCGGGTACTGATAAAGGTAGAAAAGGAATGAAATTATCTGATTTTTATTTTTTCTATTTATATTTCATTTCAATTTTTTTCGCGCCTGGATGTTTGCTGTCTTTATATATATATAATATAATAAAAAAGGAGCACAAATTCTAATACGAAGTATATACTCTTCGTAAGAAAAAAACGAGAGGCCAACTCTTTAATTTGTTCCCGATAGGATGAGCTTATTATAAATATTTGTCTATTATGTAATATATCCATAAGATTATACACGAAAGATATATAAGAAAGAGAGAGAGTGAAAGAGAGAGGAAAGAGAAGAGACTTTTATCGGCGATGTGCGTTGAAAAGTCTTTATTCGATAAGAAATATTATACTATGAATCGATAAAGAAAATATCGTGAAGATATAAAAAAAAAAAAAAGTAAAAAATAAAAAAAAACGAAAAAGAAAACTGGGTGTTCTGATATAATCAATTCACTCAAGACTTTGAGAGCTATTGTGCATTATATTCGTGCGCTTGAACATCGAAAAAGTCGAAACTGTTTCGAGATAAAAGTAATAATAATAAACAAAAAAATATATATTATATATATATATATATATATATTTAAAAAAAAGACTTAACAATATTAAAAAAAAAAACCGAATTGTTAAACGTATTAACGTACTAATATTATTACTATTACTCTGGCGCGTAAACCATTTTTTTATTGTATTTTATTTTATTTTATTTTATTTTTTTTTTTGTTCTTTATAACTATTTAATTATTATAATGTAATTATATTTGATATGTGTAATTTTTAGATTGCTTAGGTATCACACGCGAATTTTTTATAATAAACCGAAAAGTACATAAAATAATGTACAATTAGTATTTTTCTCCAATAGATCTACGCGTAATTCCTTTTGTGTGCGTTGTATACGTATGTGTAGATCATCATTCACTTTCATAGTATTGTATTTGTTCTTCCTTTTTTTTCTTCTTTTTTTTATAATAATAATTGAGAGAGAGAGAGAAAGAGAAAGAATGAAAGACAGTGAGAAAGAGAGAGAGAAAGAGAGAGAGAGAGAGAGAAAGAAAAGGAAGTTTATCTTATCATTTATTTATAAAAAAAAAAAAAGAAACGAAAGAGAAAAGAGAATAGATCCTAACGAAGCGATCTTTTTGTATTTCTATTATAAGGATTGTTTTTTCTTTCTCTCGCTAAGATGCATATTTTTTTTGCTGAAAGTTATTTAATTATATTGCAATTGTGAAAAAAGGAAAAAAGAAAACGTCGAGGAAATATATAACCGGGGGTGTAAATATTGATATACATTATGTTTTTTCACCTGACGTTCTATCATTTTGAGAATGAGTTCATTTTACTATAGAAACATGTTCAAATTGGAAGTAACATGAAAGAGATCACAATCAAACTTAGTTTTTATTAATACGGTGGCACAAATTATTCAATGTAATGCGTTGTATTTTTCTTTATTATTATTATTATTATTATTATTATTATTATTATTATTATATTATACGAAAAGTTAGAAAGAAAAAGAAAAAAAAAAGAAAAAATTAAGAAAAATGAACTATACAACAGATGAATCTTTGCTGTATTTGAAAATAAGGGGACATACAGGAAAAAAAAAATATTGTGTATTAAAGCTATTATAATGTACGTGAACTCTCCGCAAAAGGTTTACGGACTTTTTCGGAACGAAGCTTATGTAATGTTTCGTAATGAAGAAGTCTTTCGCGATAGACATTTCCAGTTTTTTATAATGCAAACGCGATTAATACGATGACACATTAATATAACACGTTTACGTATAACGCAATTACATGTGTTAACAATCTTTTGAACTTTGTTTTCGCCTTACTGTACAATTCTGTATTATTGCTGATGATGCAGTGAAAAAGATATAAATATATACATAAATTAAGAGCTTTAATGTTATTTAAACGATTTAAAACACACTGTTAGTATATTTTTGTTAACAAGGTAATAGAAGGTAGGTATGGTAAAGAAGGAAAAAAAATGAATATTTTATCAGCGCTTGTAAATGTACAAAGTTTTTTTTTTTCTTTTTCTTTTTTTTTTCTTTTTTTTTTTTTTTTTTTTTCTTTTTTATTAAACATTCTTCATCGATATCTCTCTCTACAATAAACAATTTATATAAAATTCGTAAGAAAAACTTAACACGGTGTTTAGGCGCGAGCTCTATGTGCAGATTAACGTATAATAAATCGTTGGAATTATGATTAACAATGATTAAATCAATAACCAGATAGTGTTATTTATCGTTGAAGAGACGCATTAAAGATCTATAGCGTTCTATAGCGCAAGATCGGGACGGATATTTTACCGATGCGACTTTTTATTTTTATTTTGTTTTTTTTTCTTTTTTGTTTTTTTTTTTTTTTTATATATATATATAATATATATATATATACAAATTTTTAACAAAGTTCATATATTTATTTAATTAATTAATCGAATGAAAATACTGAATGGAACCCATATTTTATCATGATTATAAAAAAATACAGATAATATTAATAAATAGTTGATATACAGAAACATAAATATTTAACATGCTTGATCAAGACAGAATATAAATAATTTAAATAAAGAAATAGGAATATGTTTGACGAAACGATTATACAAAGAAAACGGATAATAACAGATAGATTATAAATATGACGATTCGAATTATTCAACAAAAATAAAAAGTATCGATTTCGTTTGAAATTGTTTTTGAGCCATAATTGAAATTATATTTATACGACTATATCTTTGATTTAATATATTATTTAATTTTTAATATTCTCTTATGATTCGTTTTTCTTTTTTTTCTTTTTCCTTTTTCTTTTTCTTTTTTTTTTTAATTTTCTACCCGATATTTCATATCGATTTAATTAATTTCCTTTTATCTAATTGATATTATCACGCGTCATACTTCTTTGAAAGTTTTTCTTTTTTTAATATCCTAGCTTTTAATCCATGAGGATCTAATTTTTTTCTTTGAACATTTCTCTTACTTTCAAGTCTCTTCCAAATCTCTTGTTCCATTTTTTCTTTCCTTAGACGTTGCTGTTCCTTCTTCCATATATCCTGCAAATTTAAAAAATTGACATCAAAGAAAGAATTAGTCCGTGAATTAGAAAACACAAAACATTTTTTATTTTATATCAATTTGAAGATCAATACCTGAAACCCTACCTTGAAATCATGACAGAAATTTAACCACAGTGAAAAAAATTGATTAGGATCAGCTGTGTCCAAAGTAGCACCCTTAGGTATGAATTGATAAAATTGCATAACAGTTTTAAATTTCTTTTTAGCCTCAACTAATGCTTTATTTTCATTTTCTAATTCCGTTGTAGCACTGGTGAAGAAAGCGTTCATATTTTCTTTAAATATTCGAGCGTTAGGTGGATTTGATTCGACCACAGCTTCGTATTTTGTTTTGCAAGCTAAAAACAAGGTAAATAAATTTAAAGAGAAACATATAAGACATTATTTTTTTAAAAAAGAAATGAATTTATTTATTAAATTAAAAAATAATATTTACCTTTCAGTTGATCGTCTAGCCTTTGAAGTTCCTTCGTAATATCTTCAAAATTTATTGTCGAAGCTGCTTTAATATCAGCTGGCTCAGGTACAGGCAAAGGTAATGGTTCATCAAAATTACAATCCTTTTCCTGAGCTAATCGTGCTTTTACAATGAAATGTAATAGAGTAATACCCGGTACTTTAGACTTAACATCCTTCAATTTGTCAAGAATCTCCAAATGAAAGCCATCCGCCTGTCCTCTCATCATGTTACCACCATTCATATAATTTCCTAAAGTTAATATAAGTGCCATCACCTTCTTCAGTGAATTAGAATTGTTCAAGTAATCACAAATCGTCTTTAAATTCGTTAATTTGCTCGAAACGGATGAAATAGCATCTTGAAATTCGGATTGGAATACCAAACAAGCCATTCTTTCACTGAAATGATCTATTCCTGCTAATCGTTTTAAAAAAATCTCTGGGCGATCCAGCGGAACTTCTGAATTAACTTCTTCGTGGGCGATTATTTCGTCTAACTCTTTTTTTGTAGCTCTCTGTAAAAATAAAAAAGAAATTAATAAAAAAGCAAGGGAAAATAAATTTCTACACTTTGATTTTAACAATAATCAAGTTCAAAATTTATACTAACAACTTCGTAAATTTGTTGTAGCGCTTCGAGACTAATCACACTTGTATCCAAATTATAAACAGCATTTTCAACTTCAGTGAAATCTACGTGTAAACTTTTTTCCAAAATGCCAACAGTTTTCGATCGTTTTGAATCAAGTATTTTAGCTGGTTGCACTTTCGATGGCTTAGCTACATCCTCTCCTTTTTTTGCAAGTTTCCGTTCAGTGACTTGGCGTGAAAATAAATTTGTAAATTCTGTGATATCAAGATCTTTTTCTTCTTCTAATTCCGCCCAAAAAGACGTCTATGAAATTAATTCGAATAAATTAACGAAATCTAGTTTATTATAAAATATTTCAATTTTACCGTAGACTCTCCTATACTGGAAGCAGCCATTGGTGCTAAAATCCTCGTCCAATAGAGTGGCTTCATTGGTACTACAGGATTTAAAGGTTGTTTCCTCAATGCTGAAAGAAAAAAAAGTGAAGATTTATAAACCGTTCTTGATACTCTCAATTTTGTTTAGGAAGTAGTCCGTTTCTTTATTACTTACTCGATCTGCTGGGAGGATTCCAGCCTCCGATAGGAGGAGCAGGTAAAGGAGTTGGAGTAGAAGCGAGTGGTGGTGGAGGTGGCGGTGGTCCTGATGCATTTGAGCCAGGACCTGCTCCCGTGATCGAGGTAGAAAATAGAGGAGGTGGCGATGGTCCAGTCATACCTGGCATTGGTGGTGGTGGTGGTCCAGCTATTCCTGGCATTGGTGGTGGCGGAGGACCAGATGTTCCTGGCATTGGTGGTGGTGGTGGTGGTGGTCCAGTCATGCCTGGCATTGGCGGTGGTGGTGGTGGTGGTCCAGTCATGCCTGGCATTGGCGGTGGTGGTGGTGGTCCAGTCATGCCTGGCATTGGCGGTGGTGGTGGTGGTCCAGTCATGCCTGGCATTGGTGGAGGAGGAGGTGGCGGTGGCCCTGACATTCCAGGCATTGGTGGAGGAGGAGGTGGCGGTGCTCCTGACATTCCAGGCATTGGTGGTGGTGGAGGAGGTTGTGATCCAACAATTCCAGGTATTGGTGGTGGTCGTGGAGGAGATGGAAGTCCAATAATTCCAGGCATAAGCGGTGGTGGTAATGGTGGCGGCGGTGGTGTTGAAGATAAAGAAGTTTGGTCTATCAATCCTGGGATTGGAGGTGGTGGCGGTGGTGGTTGTAAAAATTGTACTTGTGTAGTACTTGGCATAGGTGGAGGTGGAGGTATACACAAAGTTTGTAAATCTAACGAGGATGGTGGAGATGGTAGTGGTGGTGAGATACACGTGGCCAATAACGCTGGAATTTGTTTCGATTGAAAATTAATACTAGATTCTGTTACTATCGAAAGTAACGGAGATGGTGATGGTGGTATTGGAGGAGGAGGAGGAGGAG